GGAGGTATTTGGGATAAGCTTTTCCGGGGTGGAGGGTATGGGAGTCATGGAGCGCACGGCAAGGGCGAGCGCGAGCGTGGCGCAGGTCCATTGGGCGCGGTTGCCGGATGGGAGAGAGGTGGCGATCAAGATCCAGAAACCGGAGATTGAGAAGCAGATTGGGTGGGATTTGTGGGCTTTCAAGTGAGTATCCCCCATCATACGCCAACTTCGGGTTGCCAGAGAGGAGGTTTGGTCTGGCCCAGCACCGGCTAACACTTGACGTGAACAGAGTTGTGACGTGGGTCTACACCCGGTGGTTCGACTTGCCACTCTACAGCCTGGTACCCTTCATCAGCGAGCGACTACGACTAGAGACGGATTTCGAGAATGAGGCCAAGAATTCTGAGATCATGCGCCAGCTTGTCGAGAAGGAGCCCAGCCTAAGAGGGCGTGTTTACGTTCCTCCAGTCTACCCCGAACTAAGCTCCAAGCGTGTTCTCACGACCGAATGGATCGAAGGCATCAGACTGTGGGACAAGGACGCCATGACTCGGCCCTGGCTAGGCGGGTACGGTAACGGTTCAGCCGGCGTCCACGGAGCGCAACTAGACCCGCCCGACATGATCGCCGTCCGCAGCGCACTGCGCAAGAGCACCCAAGGCTACGCACATATGATCAAACCCGAACGGGCCGAGTGGAAAGGACGGCGCGGCAAAGGCGGTCTCGGACTTTCAACGAAGGATGTCATGACCACCATGGTTGATCTCTTCTCGGCCCAAATCTTCAAGTGGGGAGTCGTCCACTGCGATCCACACCCTGGCAACATATTCATCCGGCGCCTGCCCAACGGGCAGGCTGAGCTCGTACTCATCGATCATGGCCTCTACGTTTACATGAGCGAAAAGTTCCGACACGAATACGGCAAGTTCTGGAAAGCACTGATGACCTTCGACAACAACAAGATCAAAGAGATCACGAAGGAATGGGGCATCAAAGCCGCCGACCTCTTCGCCTCGGCCACGCTCCTCCGGCCCTACGAAGGGGGCGACGACGGCGGGTTCCAGAACAAGCTGATGAAGCACCTAGACGGCAACAAGACGGCCAGTGAGCGCTCGTACGAGATGCAAGCCCGCATGAAGCAGGGGATCCGCGACGTGCTCGCGGACGAGGACAAGTGGCCCAAGGAGCTGATCTTTATCGGCCGCAACATGAGGATCGTGCAGGGAAACAACCAGTACCTGGGCTCGCCCGTGAACCGCATCAAGATGATGGGCACGTGGGCCAGTCGCAGCCTGTTCCAGGACCCGAATCTGCCGCTCGGGCGGCGGTTGGTGAATTACTGGCAGCATTTCCTGTTCAAGTGCGTGCTGGCGCTGACGGACGTGGCGTTTTATTTCTTCCGGGTGAAGCAGTTGCTGCATCGCGGTGGAGGCATGGAGGATGAGTTGGAGGCGAGGATGAGGGATGTCGCGAAGGAGTTTGGGGTGGAGTTGCAGCATAATGTCTTTGAGGGCTGATCGTCGTTAGCGGTTCCTGCTGAGGTGCGTAAGACAGCTCCCTTTTCTTTGGGGCATGAAGATAGGACTTTGTGCCTTTTAGCACCCGCCGTGAGCGAGGGAGGGGCGCTTTCTTTATGTGTTAAAGACGTCTAGAGCGAATACAGGGGCGCAGGGGTTGATGTTGATATCGGGTACGCATGGCGTTGGGCGCAAGAGATCTAGGATATAGATATGGCCTCTCAACTTACCTATTCAAGATACTGATTCTTTCTTGTCCGCTTCTATCGTTGAATCGCTGGACGAGTGGGCTCCTCTTACACGCGCTTCCAATGCCCAGAAGGTTATGTGAATGTGTGAAACAGCGAACTATTGGAGAAATGGGAGCCGCTTGGGTGGAGACAGACCGTCCAAGTGGAGATATCTGACACACAAACCCTTCTTGCTTGAAGCCGCCCAGCTCGGTTTCTGGTAAGGATCTCACATCATTTCCTGTTCCGAGAAGTTGTCGGCCACGCAGTCCATATCCGTCGACATTCATCTTGGTGACGTCTCATTCATAACCTTTCTCGATTCCAGTCCCTGTAAAGGTGAGATGAATAATCCAACGTGCCCATCTCCCTACCACTTTTATCCAGTCTGAAAACGGATTGGCTTCTTTGACACGAGCCTGACAAGTCACGGCGTGCTCGAACGAAGGGAGTTGGGGTTTCGTCGTCGAATTTCCAATGTGATGCATCATGCATAAAGCGCTTAGACCACCACCCAAGAATGAGATAGCGCTGAATATCTGGTGGAGTCTCTCGTTCGCTCCGTCTCAATGTGAAACAGGTACCGCACAGGGGTTGGGCTTGTACCACGAGGTGGGAATGGAGGCGCGGACCCACTGAAGCCACTCTCTCCGCAGGGAAGCTTAAAAACTTGCGGGGTCATGACTGGTGCTGTTCCTGAGTGAGCGAACGTCTCCTCCTGAAATGAAATTGTGGCCTTGTGAGAGCTGAGAAATTCCATCCTCAGCCCAGGCTCAACAGTGAGTTTCATGTTCTTCTGGGGAGACTCGTTTGGTTTGTATACATACACTGCGGTACCTACCCTGTCTTCCAGAGTCTCGGCTGCGTTGCGCTGGCAAGCTGGCTCTGGCTCTGGCTCGCAACCGCAAATATCATTCCATGTGACCCATGATGTTTGCCTTCTGGAGTGCGGATTTGGCTGGCCTGAACCGTACAGTACTTACATAGATTACACTACTACACGCCCTCTACGCCCTCTACGCCCTCACCGCCCTCACGCCCCCTTCAAGCCCTACGGCGTAAGTCGTCTGCGCTTCTGGAACTGTGGCCGAAGAATAGCTCCGAGTGCGTACAGCACGTGGCTTCAGCGTTAAGACTCTCCGTGTAGCCATATCCGCCTTGGGAACACGATGGATGACGGAAAGACGCGTGCACAGTCGTCACTGGTTAACTGAGAGGGGTGCTTGCTTCCGTGTGCTACATGAATATCTGCAGAGGGCCGAGGAGGGAGGATGATCATCAATCAAGACCATCAAGAGAATGGTCAATATTCGATGGTGCGGGATGTCTGCTTGAAGAGGGTCTGTAGGTACACCGGCTCGGCCGGTTGTTAAGACTGGGTTGAAGTCTAGATGATCGGTTAGCATCCCAAGGCATGCACATAAGAGATTGGTTGGTACCACCTAAGCCCGGCGTTGGACCGTTGGAACGAGAGCAGGCCATCACCCGCTGCAATCGAATAGGGGTCGACCCAAACAGTCCGTGCGATCAGCTTTGAGGGTGAAGATATCTCGAAGACGAGTGTCTTCTTATGCCCTTGGGCACTGAAAGCATCTTGACCGAGGCGGCGAGGCAGCGGGTTGAAGACACAAGACAGAAACCGAGCCAAGCCTTGTGTCTGTTGCGCTTCCCCGGTTTCTGCGTTTCGAATCGGGAAACTTGTTCAACCCATCTCATCTCCAGGGTCGCAGATGGTGATAGGTGGAGATGGTAGAAACCCTCGCTAGCCCAACCAAGCAGTTGGCACGAAGTTTAAGGGTGCAGTTCGACCCCCGTCCACACTTCAAGTGGTTGCTTCTACCCTGGTCATCCTAGGCTCTGTCCCATGCGACATCCGCCGGGGTTCAACCTCGCCGCCAGCCAATCCGCTTGTCTTGTGCCTGGCCAGCGTTTCTTCTGGTCCGAGGGCCTTCTTTTCTGTTTCTGTTTCTTCTGTGACTTCAACATTTTCCTTTCCCTTTCTGCGACTCACCTTCATCGATCCAGAGGCGTTTGTGATCTCATCGACAGCTGGTTGTCGTCTATCGTCCTCTTCCTTCTCGTCTTGCACAACTACAAACATCCATCTCGATCCTTGCTCCCTCCTCCGTGCTGAGCAAGTCTCGCGCGCACCACCGTGTTGTACGGCCACAAACCGCCATCCTCTCGTTTCGTATCTGGGTTATTTCGCCCCGAGGCCGTCAAGATTCACGTAAGTTGTCACTTTCTTTTGCGCTGCAGCAACACACATGCCATTGGATATGTTGGCCTAGTACGATGGTTTTGTCGATGACTGTTCGAGGACAGGCAGTGCAGCGCAATGGCTGTTGGGAGAGTAAAGGCGTTGGAGTTGTTTGAGGAATTCAAGCCTGGCTGGTCATTTAAAAACTGCGAACCGCAGTTGTAATGGAAGCTAGTGAAAGAGACATATTCAGTTTGACATCATGGTTGAATGTGACGAGGATGGAAAGATATTTTCGGAGCATGGGGAAAGAAGATGAAATAAGTGTACTGACGAAACCTCAATCCAGGAACCTGATACCGTTTACTCCCAAGCTCCTTGATTCCCTTCACTTCACCCGTACTTTGCCGACATCAACAGTTCGACGGCGACTGCCACCCACCCTTCGCTCGCTCTTGCATAAATTCAGCATCTTCCGCATTCCGGTCCCGGTTCACGAAATACACCGGTTCAATATCGACCGTAACTGAGAAGTCCTGACCTTGGAATAGGGCTGTACTTTCCAGTTATCGCTGCGGAACCGTGTTTCGTGCTTGCTCTTCCATCTTTCGATCTCGACAGCCACTGTGAGATTTATCAGATAACACTCGTTAGGTGAGTTTCTTCCTATTTCCAGTCAAACTTACCTCTACTCCAACCAGCTCCTGCCCGCTTTGAGGCAATGGAATGAATTCCTTCTTACTGCCACCAACCAACATCATTTGGCAACAAGGCAGTCAGCTGGCTTGCCATATCCCCGACAACTTCCAATTCGCTTTCCTTTCACAATGGGTTTGAAAGCTAATCACCATCGTCACAGACCCCTAGCTCAATCATCCGTCGCTTCCTCGTCACATTTGTCGAACTTACCGCCAGTACTCGCCCAGCCTTTGCTCAGGGCTCGAGTTTCCCCGTCAGGCAGAGTGCATATCGCAGTTGCCGAGGATCGAAGTCGACCGCCTTTTTCTGCCGAAGCATACACAGTCAAAGCTCGACGCGCATTACGTTGCATTTAGTCTCTCGCCGAGGATCATGAACGAGTCTCCTGCTCGCCGATCTAGTTTTGGAGGAATGTTACTACGCAGGACCAAGAGTGGCGACATGAAGAAGCAGCAACAGCAGGCCAAAACGCAAGACATGCAACGCCTGCGCGATGCCTCTGCTGCGCTTCCGCAGTCCCCCCCTCGACTGCCAGCCCTTTACAATGGAGCCCCCGCTCTCCAGCTAGGGCTCGGAACCGAAGTTCGTCCCGATTCACTCGCAATCATCTCAGGAACCACGGGCTCAGCCGGCGCCGAACACTCATCTAATTACTCTATATCTTCTACTGCTCGCCCATCCATGGAGGCTCCACGCTCAGCATACAACGTCCCTCCGCCTCCTCCCATTCCCAACGGCTTCGACCCTTATGCCAATGCTACCAGTATGGCGCATCGTGGACGTTACAGCTATGCTAGCAGTGCAGTCAGCACAATCAACAGCCCCAGAAGAGTCCGCAGAAGAAAGGATCCGACTGCCTTCAAGTAGGTCTGACCAAAACAAAACTGTTGCTAGAGCTCCTCGATTCTAACAATCCACTCAATAGTGTCCTTGTTGTTGGTGCCAGCAACTCGGGGAAAACATCCTTCTTGGAGTTCCTCAAGAGTGCCTTGGCACTACCCAAAAAGCGAGGAAAGCCCGTTGACCAGCACGAGCACTCTCCGAAACCCTCACCGTCCGGCAACTTCATTCCGCATTATCTCGAAACCGAGTTCGACGGCGAGCGCGTCGGATTGACATTGTGGGATTCGGAGGGGCTCGAAAAGAATGTCGTTGATCTGCAGCTCCGCGAACTGTCGAGCTTCCTGGAGAGCAAGTTTGAGGAAACGTTTGTTGAGGAGATGAAGGTCGTGAGATCGCCTGGTGTACAGGATACCCACATCCACGCCGTCTTCCTCCTCCTCGACCCCGCACGACTTGATCGGAACGTCGCAGCCAGCTGGGCCGGCGCTGGGAATATGTATCTCAATGGTGTCAGGAACCCTCCCTACTCTCGTATCGTGGGAGCATTGGACGAAGACCTCGATCTACAAGTCATGCGAACACTCACCGGAAAGACCACGGTGATTCCGGTTATAGCCAAGGCTGATACCATCACGACGAAACACATGAGCGTACTGAAGAGGGCAGTCTGGGATAGCCTTAAGAGAGCCAACCTGGATCCGTTGCAGGCCCTTGGACTGGACGACGAAGATGACGACGATTCCTCCGACCGCATCGACGAAGAAGATGAGAATGCCGTGTTCGATCACAGTGACGCCGAGGAGGCTGTTGGTGGCGAAGACCGCCCCAGCGCAAAGCATGGGTCTTCACCTAGCTCTAACAGACACTCTAACGGCTCCGTTCGTCGTCACAAGGCTTCCGAGGAGACTTCTACCGAGGATGAGATTCCCTTCGTCCCTATGTCGATCGTCAGCCCAGACCTCTATGAGCCGAGCGTCATCGGCCGCAAGTTCCCCTGGGGCTTTGCGGATCCCTACAGTGAAGAGCACTGCGACTTTGTTCGTCTTAAGGATGCCGTCTTCAACGAGTGGCGTTCCGATTTGCGGGAGGCCAGTCGGGAACAGTGGTACGAGAACTGGAGGACGAGCAGGCTGAAGCAACACGGCGCAAAGATCCGTTAGTGTGGTTCTGGCAACCTATGAATGCCGAAGCCTGGCCGACTTGCCTAATTGCGGTATTCAAAAATGGCATCTCTGCAGTACCACCGAATATGGACTCCGCACGCGTCTCATGCAGACGTTTGACGACATATTGTGTCTTGGAATTTACTTTGAGCAGAACACAGCACATACCCATCTGCACAACGCCAGAGGTCGAAACTTCGTTTATCCCAGTCATTACAGTATGGGAGCTCTTGTTCTTGCCTCGTTAGCTGGCAGTACGTTATCATATGTGGACAGGAGGTAAGCTGCTATGGGGTCAGAGCAAAAGAGTGCTTTGATGTATTTACGTATTATGTTTCTGCATGGCCTGTTTGATTGTTTCGATATGACACCGGATATGGAATACCCACAGACAAACCTTTATCTACTTTTCTTATTTCTCGTGCACTTATCTTCTTATTCTTGCCACATGGCACTTGTTGTTTCTTCCTGGTTGTTTTGTATTATGGCATGTGTATGGGTTGACGCAGGAGATGGGAGATAAAGCAAAGACAGTTCGACCGGCAGTGGATGAGCCAGAGAGCGGGAGAAATATGCAAATACTAGGTGGTTATATAGCCTGTTGCTGGTTCAGTCCTTATTTGCTGGCTTTGAGCTCGTGTTGCCTTGCTTATCATATGCGGCTATCGAATTGCTACTTGATTGACTGCCAGTGGGGGTTTTTGTCTTCATTATCTTCAACAACCCCATATTTGACATCTCTCGTATTCGTAGTAACATATTTATGTTGTTTCCACTTTAAGAGAAACACCTAGCAAGTAACGAACCGGTTAACAAATTTCTTATTTAACTTTACTTTCATCTCCCCCCCCCCCCCCAATGAGTCTCTACTCAAACGAACATATCGATGCCACTTTCTCCACCCCGTCAAGAATTCCATAGCAATGATTGATATATAAACACAGGTTGCCGCCCAATGCTTGTTTTTAACACCATCCCTCTTCTCGTTCTCCGGGATGCTATACACATATACATAACCGCGAGAGAGCAGGAAGCAGGGAAGGGCTCATGTGATCCCATCCAATCATTTCCGTGTATCCTCCTCCTTACTGACAATGCAAGAGATCAGATCAGACACTTGCACAGGTCCCAGTCCCTGTCCCCGTCCCTGTCATTTGTACTTTCTGTCACCCATCCCTCGGTTCCCTTTTTCCTCTCTGTCCCCATCTCATCTGTTCTCGTCCTCTCTGTATATTCATCCATTCTCGCCCACTGATTCTCCCTTGACCTCGAAAGTAGTGGTAGCTTTCTTCGTTCATGGTAGTATCGTCTTCGTCGTACCCACCCATGAATCCACCTTCTTCTTCTTCACTCAGGAGTTGGCCTTCTTCTTCTTCATCTTAATCTCTTTCAACATCATCTCCCCCTCCGTCTGCTCTTTCTCCTCCTGGTTCAGCAAAGGTTGACTCTCCTCCTAGTTGTATCGCTGCCAGGGGCGCTTTGTAATCTCCTAGATTTGCGCCTTAACCTGGTTCGCTTCCTCCCAGTTGCTGATGGCCTCGTCGAACGGGATGACGTGGTCCTTGATATTGCGTGCCTTGTACCTAGTCCTAGTTTGCAAAAGAGGGGGGTTATCACTGCTGAATCCACCGCCACTGTTGGGGCCGTTGTTGCGTTCGTCGTCATTGTTGTTGTTGTTGTCTTTGTTGCTGCCACGGTTGCGGTAGTCTCCTCGGTCCCCCCTATCTCTGTCTCTATCCCTCATGCTGGGACCCGAGGAGGAAGAAAGCGGCGGCATGGGGAAATACTCGAGATGTTGGCGGTCCGTGACAAACTGCTTCAGACGTCGGCGCGCGGGCATATGGGTGTTTTCGCGATGGCCTTGGAAGTTGAGGTCGTAGCATCGCAGGGAACAGAAGACGGATTCGCATTTGAGCGTCGTGAGACACTCGCGGCAGAAGCAGACGGGGGACGAGGCGTTGGGGTCCGAGTCGACGGGCGAGGAGGCGACGGTGCTGGTCCCGTCCATGTTGATGTCTTGGTCTGGATCGTAGTGCTGGTGGCTGTGGCGGAGAGGGTTCACTTGGACGCAGTCGTCTTTGGAGGCGCATTCGTGGTCGGTTTCGATGTGGCTGGGCTGGTTGGGGGGTGTCAGTCAGTAAGTTGAGGGAGGGAAAGAGTTTAGGGGGAAAAGAAACTTACCAGGCCTTCGGTGTTGCATTCCGACGAACACCACACGGTTTGCCGTTCCCTCACACCTTTTTGAGCCAGAACCATGCATATAGGGCAGGTCAAGAAATCTCGAGTATTAGGCGGCTGTCCGCAGTTTTGACATGCGGGCACGTTGTAAAGCTCTTCCGGGACCTTATGCTCCGATATGCTGGCCTTCTTCGTCTTTTGTAGTTCGTATGCCGCCCGTGCTCTCTTGAGTTCTTCCAGTCGTTTCTTGACATTGTCGATCTTGGCTTGTGCCCCCTTTGCCTCCTTCCTGTCGTCTAGTATCCTGTCGATCGCCTGCCCCAATGGTGTCCCTTTGTCTTGGAACATGTCGAAGTATTTCTTCTGCGAGCCTTGCAAGTTCTTCTCGTCGCTCCCTCCCACGACAGTACTGGCAAACGCCTTCCTCATAATCGCGACTCGGTCCTCATCGGTGGTTTCCGCCGCAGAAAACTCGGGCGGGAACCCGTCATCCATCCCACCCATAGCTGTGTCTCCATCCTCTTCCTTCGCGCCCTTTAGTAGCTTCTCGATATCCTTAGCCAGGCGAAGTACGTTCTGATGTGACCGCGCCCCCTGCTTCGCTTGCTGTAATTCCTCTATCCTCTCAACAATGGCATCCTTTGCTACCACTGCCGCCGGGTCCGCATCCTCCGAGGGGACAGCATCGTCCAGTTTCCCAATGACGGTTGGTAAGAGCCGCAAAAGTGAGGATTGTACAACCTCGAGGTACCAGCTGTCCCGCTCAGCCTGCACGCGGTCGTCGATAGTTCGTGGGTCAACCTGATACTCCTTCGCGCCAGCTAGCATGTTGTCGATCTCCCTCAAGAAGGAGCGCCGCCTTGCGCACCATTCGCCGCCGGCGCCGGCGCCGGCGCGTGACTGGTGGTAGCGTGCGCGGACGAGGTCCAAGGCCTTTCGGTAGCAGTCCGGGCATGTGACTAGGTATTTCCGTTGTGGTGATGGTTTTGTCGTTGTTAATGCTGCTAATGATGGTTGAGCACCACTGGCGTTGTTGGGGCGTTGGAAGCTGCCGTGTTGGGATATGCATTTCAACCGGATATCGTCAAGCTGTTGGGCGAGTTGTTTGTCTCTGCTCACGGTGAGACTGGACAAATATAATAAATCGTCTGCCATGGTGGGACAGACGAGGCCAAAGGCGCGTGTGATTCGTAGACGGAATGCCAGTGTCAGGGCCAGTTGACAAAGACAATGGCGACTTTGATGAGTGGTATCAAAAGCTGTAGTTGTAAAACTGAACTGAGGTTCACTCCGGTAGAAAGGTGCTTTATAAGAACAGCCAAAAAGAAAATGGGTATCTTGTAAAGAGAAGAGTTGATGGACCAAAGTATACTGTGTCTGGTTGAGAGCATAAAAAGAGTGAGTTAGTTCTGTTTTGAGATGTTGAAGTATATGAAGGAAGTTTGTTGAATCTCGAAGTGGAAGTAACTAATTGATCAACAAGTTGAGGAGTATATTGTGAGATGAAATTACCTTAGGATATGTACGCGGACGGCTTTTCCTTCCGAGGTAATTCCTGAAGTGGAAGCTTCTTTGAAGACTGAAGGCTGAGTTCAACCTCGAATCTGTGAGTGCCCAATGTCAAGTTGCGTATGTTCCCTGGCACCGCGTAGTGCTCAAGAAAGGCCCGGCCCCGGGGGAGTGCAGTCCCAAGTCCCCAGTGGGCAACTCCCCCGTCGAGCCCGTTTCACCACTCCACCCTCGGCTCCACTAGAAGGTGGTCCGTTCACTGATTCGAGGCTTGGCATTTGCCGCACTGCGCTAACAAATAAGCCTTGCAGGGCGCATAGGTCTTCAGGTCATCAATCGCATCCACGCGTATGGCACTGGCGTACAGCGTCCCTGCTTTCCAACATTCATCCGTACTTTATCGTCTCGACATCAATGCGTCCGAGTCGTCCTCCGCCAGCAACAGCAACAACACCAACACTACCAACACCTATTGCCCCAAAACGGACAAGAACGATAAGAAACAAACTTCCACTGACAAGACCCTCAGATAGCATGGACTGCAACCTCTCTGAACAAGAACGATAAGAAACAAACTTCCACTGACAAGACCCTCAGATAGCATGGACTGCAACCTCTCTGACAACAACAACAACAACAACAACATCATTCTCCTTTGCCCATACCTACCTTCGCCTTTTCGGATCAAAGCACGGTCAATATAAACGTGCTCAACTTCTAATATCATAATGGTAGGACTACCCGTCGTCTATCCTTCTGCCCTTTCTCCGGCGCATACTGACCCAAAACCTCAACGATCAACAGGCGGACAAACTTCGTACCCAGCAAGAACTCGAACGGCTCCAGGCCAAGTATATCGGCACCGGTCACCCAGACACGACGAGTTGGGAGTGGAAGACCAACATCCACCGCGATACTTACTCGAGCATCGTGGGACATCCACCTCTCCTATCGTACATGGCGCTGGCTGAGAACGAGCCTGCGGCCAAGGTCCGCGCAAGACTTATCCGCGTACGTCGCCGTGTCATGTATACACAGGGTATCATGATGTAGCTCCAAGCTAACGTTTCTTATTTGTTTGTTAGAAAATGCTGCAGCCCATGGGACCCCCTCCGCCAAGAGAAGGCGAAGAGCCTATGCTTGTTGACAGAAAGGCCGATTCCTAGAATCGTATTCATGGATAGAAAAGTCAACCGAGGAACTCGACAACGCGAATAAGCAATAGGCCGATATTCACCCTAGGCACCGGACGGGACAGCGACAACAAGTGCTTTCAAACATGACTACGCTCGATACTGCGATGTCGACACGAGTGGCCCGATCGGGAGCTATTCGCGTTGCTACGACGAATTACGAACGGGGATAGGGACGACAGACATCAAATTAGTCGGTGGAAAAGGAAGAAGCGAATTACCCTTGTGTCAATGACGAGTTCATTGACTCTTTCAGACAGCATTCTCGTCGCTCGTAAGGCCCTTTACCTTTTTACCCTCCTTGTCCATAGCCCATATGTACTTTAGAACACAGATACCCTAACGCCTTGCGCCAATCTAAACAGACAAGAACACAAAGAGCACATACCAGATCACAGTGCCTACCCCCGTCTTCCTCGTCTCGTATTTGGGCCAGGTTGCGGCTCCTCGTCTTCTTCCTCATCCTCCTCTTCCTCGTCCTCCTGGATTATGGCCGGAGCTCGATTTCCCGCTGCTGATCTTGGTGGCTTCCTCTCCTTGACTTTTATACTGGCTTGGAGCTTCCTCTCCAGTTCCTCATTCTGGCGGCCGCCGCCATAGATTTCCCGGACCACGGCGGCAATGGCTTCATTGTCTACCTCCATCTTGCCACGGGGCCCTACGTGCCAGGTAATTGCGTCGTCGTCTCCGGCGTTCTTGTTGTCCGCAACCTTGACAAGGTAGCCCTGCTTAATCATACGCTGGAGGACTAGCTCGGTCTTCTCGCTCGGCGCATTTGCGTTGTTGGGGTTGGAGCTGGGCATATTCTCGGCCGCATTGAGACGAGCGAGGAACCGTCGCAGGCGCGGATCACTTAGCTCGCCACCACTGAATGTGATGATGGCAATAAGCATTGTGTAGATACCGATATATGCAGCTTCGCCATCTGCCGATTGGACTTTGGATGGGGTGATGATATCGGGGACTCGGAGGTGTTCGGGCAAAACGGAAACGAGCATATAAGAGTTTGACGTTGGCTCCTTCTGGCTCTGGGATTTCGTGGCTGGGAAACACAAAAGTGGTTAGCAAAACGGCATGCACAGAGAGGCGGCTTGTAACCAGGGCGTAAACACACCTTTCCTCTTTTGCTCGACTGTCAAAAGGTTCCTGTCCCTAGTGGGCAGCTCGACCATCTCCATGCCAAGTGCAGCTCGCAGCTGCTTCTGGGCCCCGGCAAACACCTTCTTGAACTCGCGGCCGTGGATGCCAAGTACCCTTTCCTTGATGCCGTCTCTTCGGATCGGTGTTCTAGAGTATTCGCAAGCGAGGGCATATCGCACCAACTTCTTAATAAGCTGGCTTGTCTCGTCTCGCTCGACACCGTGCATGTAGTCGACGTCGGAGTTTCCGTCGTCCCCGGGGCTGTCAGGGCGTTGGTGGACATCTTCATCCTCATCGGACTCGACCGCCTATAAGTCGAGCTTGTCAGTCTACCCCCGGACCAATTCCGTGGTTAGGAATATTCTGTCGTATAGCCCATACCTGTCGGCGCTGGCGCTGTGTTGGCGGCATGATCTCTGGTCAACCCCACAAAGTGCTTTACGATAAGTGCGATCTGGGTGTCTTGAAAAGATGCAGCGGCTGTACGTTTGACTGAAAAACAGAACTTGATGCGAGTTTCAAATGACGGCCAGTTTGTGTGTTCCTTGCAGTAGTTGAATACTATTCCGTAGTATAAAGGGAAAAGGAGGCAAATGAAATCGCGGGGTCCCGTCCTGTTCAAGTTGTTGAATGTAAGGACTTACAAATAATTGGTGTCATTCAGTGAAGTTGCAGTGCAGTGGCTGCCATGCCGCAATCAATTGCAGGTCGCGCCGGGGACGCGTCTATGCAGCACATGCAGGGTTCTTGCCTGCCGGGAAGGGTGCGATTATTGAATCGGGCCCCACCTAAAATTCATCAATCGCCCGGCGCTCGAGGTCGCCGGCAACAGTCCTCCACCCATCCCGATCGCCATTAAGTTCTTGTGCGGTGGTTTGGGAAACTATAGGGTGTTGTATTCCTTCTTGATATACCCGGGCTTTTCGTGCCATTTCTTTTCAGATGCTCAGTCGAAAGGTCGGCGGCAGCTTCGTTTGCCTGCGATGCCGCTTGCAGCTCGCCGGTGCCGCGACTACCTTAACGACCAGACGGCCGCTACCATTTACACCACCAGCGGCAACCCGCGCCGGCACCGTCATTCCCTCTCATGCGACAACACTCTTTGCCAACAGACGATACTACTCATCTGACGAAGCCGATGCCGCCGATGTGCCCGAAGAATCGAACCGAAAACAAGACTTATTCAACCCAGAACCCTTCAAAGGGACGGCCGATCTGGCGGACCCGGCGGATATAACCAGACGAATCATCCAGGGTTTCGACGCCGTCGACAACGAGATCCAGAGCAACAAGGCCCGCGAAGAAGAGGCCACTGCCCTCAACACCGAAAATGACATCGAGGATGGCGATAAACCAACAGGGCCCAACATCATCAGATATTCGCCGGCGGACAGAAGAGAAAGGAAACAGGAGACATGGGTCAGGCACAAGGGTCAAAGGATGGCTGTCAAGGAGGAAGACCTCGATGTCGGCATGCTGGGCAAGCCATCGCAAGTGGTTGTCCTTCGCAGTCGAGGGAAATTGAGCAAGCGCCAAACAGCACATGTTACGCCAGCTACTGTGCATACCGCCGTGGATGACCTAGAGGAGTCTTTGGAGAAGCAGAGTCTGGATCCCATCGCGGAAGAGGTTCTCGAGAACATACAGGAACTACGCCCTGATGAGTCCGTTCTTACCGGAAGGCACTTCGCCGAGCTGTTGGAAACTCTCTACACAAGCTTTACCAGTCGCCAACTGGAACAATATCTTATGCATCACGCCGAAGCCCAACGAGTGCTGTCCAAGCCGCTTGAAGCAGATCCCCCATGGATTGCCAGGCGTTATCCTTGGATTCCCGCCGTTGAAGGCGCCATGACACCCTTCGACTACAGACACCCTACGTTGCGCGGATACTATCGTTCAGACACAAAGCCGAAGCAGAAGCTTGCACTGCGGATCATGCTCGAGTGCTGGGGGCTGGCTTCTTATGACATTATTGATGGCCAAGGTCACTTGGTTGTGAGCCTACGTGATACCGAGTTTTCACTTTTGATGCGTACGTAAACCTCTGGTCAACATGCTTGCCACATCGTGACTAACCCCTTCTTTTTGCATTATAGTTGGATCGAAGAGATGGCTTGCCGACATTTCCCGAAATACTCTAATTGCTGGTCAGAGGATCGAACTCATTCCTGCGAGCAACGCCATCTGTATCAACGCACCAAAGGCCATGAGTGAACTTGTTCTTTCCGAAGTCAATAGAGTTATTGAGCATGCAAAGACCATCAGCCTCGACCTTAACCTTGTTGGCAAACAAGCCAAGAACCCAGCTGTTCTCAAGTCAGTGGGTGATGTTACTCACTCTGTTGTTCGCCTCGACCCAGCAGGTGACAAGGTAAGTTACCAATGTACCCATCTTCCTTGTCTCCGACCGAATGCTTACCAATTGCAACTTTTCATAGATTAATGTTACCTGGGTTGACATGCGAAAAGACGAAACTCTAGAGAACATGGCCGATATCGTCATGCGGTTCCTTCTTGTTGCCTTTGGCCAGAAGCCGCGTACCGAACATACTACCTTGGTGCTTCCTCCCCAGGCAAGAGAAAGCGGCCGCTACCTGATCGAGCCCAACTGTCAGCCGAAGCTCCCCTGGCAAGAGCGCATCAAGCTGTGGGCGAGATGGATTGCGCCGGTGGCCAAGGCAGGGTCGTCGTCTACAGGCGTTAAGATACCTGCCAATGTTCTTCCTCATCCACTCAACCTGGCTAAGGAAGCACCTCGCCACAGACTGATCACAGCTGCGTTCCCCGAGTTGCACAGGGACCAGAGCGCGGAGGGGTGGTCGGAAGTACCGGAGACTGACACCCGTGCGGTTTTCGGCCATGTTCTCCATGCTCCGGCTAAATCGCCGGACTCGGCACAAGCCCAGCGTAGCCGAATTGTCGGGTCGGCTTCCACCTCTGGCTTCCCAAGCCGTCTCGATACTTCTCTCGACCGAACCTTCATGCCCGTGCTTCCGCCGATTTCTGAGCTAAAGTTCGCCAACAACCTCAAGACTCAGGGGCTTTACCACTCTGACATCGTCATGCGCTTCGTGCCCGCCCGTGAGCAGCCCCACTTAGTCAAGGCCACCTCTGCTCCCGATCTGGAGCTGGTTCTTGAAGCTGACAACCGCGAGGTTAAGGGCTTCACTTCCCTTCGTGCCATCACTGAGTCCTTCACGGGCGACATTATCTGTCCCAATTCGCCCATTGATGTCCGACTTAAGCAGCGCCGCCAGTTTACCATGGACCTTAAGAGCATTGGCGAGTGCGGACCAATAGTCGACTTCGTAAACAAGTCCGACCTGCGTCCTTGGGATGGAAAGCTCAAGACTCCTTCTTCGATCGAGGCACTGCCACTGCCTAAGCGCCTCTTGTCTGGGCCATCTGTCAAGAAGATTGAGGAAGACATTGTTCCCATCAAGTATCTCTTCGCGGGCATGGAGATTCACAGGCGCGTGGCGGCTGATTACAAGGGTTTTACCGCCACGTACCGATCCATCGAGGCTGGTCAGCGCGGCGGCAAATACGCCGAGCTCTCTGTTGACGCAGTGCGTGCCGAGGTGACTCGAGCCTCTGGTCCTAGCTATCTTATGGAGCTGAGGCAAGAGGCTCCACTTCCTCCTCCCAGTGGCGAGCCTGCCAGACTTGATCCCACTGCCCTTCCTGGCGGAAATGCCACCATTACCCCCCTCCACGGGCGTATGTCTGAAGGCTTCCTCAAGCCCTTCGTCCCTGAAGAGAAGGGAATTAACTGGAAGTCCGGCATTACGCCTGCTGAGGCAGAATTCCGCAGGTCCCTCGAGGAGTCGGACGACGCGCCTATCCGTCAACCGCCGTCCGCGGCGGCCAAGGAAGCAGCGGATGAGCTCAATAACCTTGACCTCGACAAGGAGATCGGGGACCGCGACCCTGATGCCCCGGGGAAGCGGGAGTTCCAAGAGGAGATCAAGAAGGACGAGTGGTTAGACGAGCTCCCACCTCTCAAGAGGAAGGAGGGAGAAGAGTCGGTTGTCGATGATTCCGATCCATGGGACGGCAACGATCCCAAGCATCTCAAGGCCTTCTTGGATGTTGTTGAGGATATTGTCAGTGGCAGGGCGCCGCCTGCTTGGCAGGGGAGGTAACCTTTAGAATTGGGTGTGTGTAGAGGTGGGTTATGTTGTGTCGAAAAACACACATGTATAAATTTCAGGTTGGAAAAATACCAAATGGCAAGAGGGATTCATTTTAACAAGGCATTGGGATTGGAGTGGAACGGAGCGGTTTTCAATTAGTTCATGCATGGCTTTGCTTGAAGATTGGTAAAAGTTAATCCAATCGCTGTGTTGAAATGTGTGTAAGATAAAGTCAAAACTAGATGAGGGTCAGACGGTTGGAGGAAGATTTTCTGGGTTAGTTAGGATGGCGTCCATACTATAGATATACCATGCACATAACAACAATTACTTACGTCGATTTATCATCCTCCCTCTGCCGTTCGAATGGAGTTTGCGAAGCACGTTGTAGCAACGTTTCCGTAGTTTGCTCGGGGACAACGCATACACATTAGTCATCAGGTCATGTTAATGTCCATTGTTGATCAAGCAAACATGGGGAATTTCACAACTGAAAGACTCTGTTTTCTGAACAGACAAACAAACCTCACATCCCCATGAACGCCAGTTTGTGTACAATCCCAAGCCTGTACGTACAAGTTAGACTTCGATTACAAGTCGTGATGTTCCCATTTCTTACACGAAAAGACATTTTTCACGGCCTCCTTGTCTAGAGGTACCTCATTCAACCACTACAAGACAATAACTACCAGTCATCTGGAAGCTTATTTTCGTCATCACCCAGGCCAGTGAAACACAGATGACTGACCAAAAAGAAGATAGAACTCAGTCTGTTATCCTTACTAAATTTTACAAGTCCCCGAAAAAATCCATACATGATCGGATCCAAGCCTTCTAGTGCAATCCTCATTCGTGTGTGTCTTTCCAGTCTACCTACATCCGAGTTACCTACCTCCGATCAACCTATCTATCGCTTCGTCGTTGTGACAAGAGAGGGAGAAGGAGAAAAGGGAGAAAGGAGAGAAAGAAAGTCAACACTCGCACCCACATCTTCAAAAACATGACGGTCATTCATTCATTCATTCATTATCCATCCATCCATGGTAAAACTTCTTTCCTCCAAAAGAAAACACACATTCCCCACCTCTTTTTTCCACCGACGCCACACCTGTACCGTACGTAAAAAAGCAACGCAACAAGCTCTCTAGTTTTCTAACTATAGGGACTTGTACATTGTACATAATCAACCGCCAATCGGTAAACACTTCTTCTGGGCCTTGAAGGGAAAAAACAGAACCAAATGAGAGAAATGCCACACATGATATGATATGCTCTGTTACCTCCTTGCGTACCATTTCCTACCATTTGATAACGCCTACCATTATCCATGTGCTACCAGCCCACCTGCTACCTACACATCGACATATCCTCCTCTTGCTCCCAACTCAACTAAACACACACACACTCTACCGCTATATACTTAAACAACTGAAAGACTTTCGAAACATGAATAAGGAAGGAAGGCTCAACGCACAAACACAAACACAAGTATCATCCAACAAAGAGTTCAAGATCTAACCAACACCTGGAGACTCGGGAGGATAGCACTGTCTTACTTGTACGACAAGCAAGACACCACCACGTTGGAAAACATGTACAGCAATACAAGATGAGAAAAGAGAGAGAGAGAGAGAGAACATCCGACGCAGATATCTACAAACATACATCAAGCGGGAAGGTAGTCGAAGAGCGAATTGCAGTATGATATAAGCTGCCCGTGAAGGTACAAGTGCAAGGGAGGTACGAAGGACAAGTCCCACCGAGTTGGTAGACAATATCCATACATACGTGATGAAGTTCAGAGTCGAGTGGTGGTAGAGGTAAGTAAAGATGGACACGGGAGATAGGCACGATAAGAGACAAGCAGAGCACTCAGCAGGGTATTTATACATAACGAATACTTACCAGTATCCCCTCCAAAGGCACATCGAAAGCCAGGCGTGGTGAAAGGCATCGAGATCTGAGGATGGATCGATATGAAGACACCGAAGTGAGCGCGACGAGGCAAAATGTGCAGCAAGGTATTTTGTGGTTGGGACTGGCGAATAACCCCAAAGCTGCTGAAGGCTACATACATGAGCCAAAGACATCGCAAGGGGGAGGGCGAGCGTTCTACAGAGACAGAGAACACAAGAGGAAGCACATAAATCACAATATCGTATCACATTTGAAACCGAAGGAACCATTTGAGTGGCTTGTGGGGGGAATCATCATTTTGTAGTCATTATCTAGCCTCTATCTTGTCCTCAGCACACAGGAGGTTTTGCATCCGTCATAAATCCCAGACCAACCCTCTCATAACTGTGCCCAAAACAACCGAGTGTTCATGCAACGCAAGGAGATTCGTAAATTTTTTGCTTGCTAGGAAGAAGAAATTTACTTCTTGGCAGCCTTGGCAGCAGACTTGGTGACCTTGCCAGCGACAGCCTGGGTCTTGTCGACGGCCTTGATGACACCGACAGCGACGGTCTGACGCATGTCACGGACGGCGAAACGACCGAGGGGAGGGTAGTCGGTGAAAGCCTCGACGCACATGGGCTTGGAGGGAATCATCTTGACGATGGCAGCATCACCAGACTTGATGAACTTGGGAGAAGTCTCAACAGCCTTACCAGTACGGCGATCGATCTTCTCGAGGAGCTCGGCGAACTTGCAGGCAATGTGGGCAGTGTGGCAATCGAGGACGGGAGCGTAGCCGGCACCGACCTGACCGGGGTGGTTAAGGACGATGACCTGGGCGGTGAAAGAGGCAGCGCCGACAGGGGGGTCGTTCTTGGAGTCACCGGCAACGTTACCACGACGGATATCCTTGACGGAAACGTTCTTCACGTTGAAGCCGACGTTGTCACCGGGAACACCCTGAGCAAGCTGCTCGTGGTGCATCTCGACGGACTTGACTTCAGTGGTGACGTTGGAAGGAGCGAAGGTAACGACCATACCGGGCTTGAGGACACCAGTCTCGATACGGCCGACGGGCACTGTGCCGATACCGCCGATCTTGTAGACATCCTGGAGGGGAAGACGGAGGGGCTTGTCGGTCGGGCGCTTGGGCTGCTCAATGGCGTCGATGGCCTCGAGGAGGGTCTTGCCAGTGGACTTGCCGGCCTTGGTCTCCTTCTCCCAACCCTTGTACCAGGGGCAGTTGGTGGAGGCCTCAAGCATGTTGTCGCCGTTGAAGCCGGAGATGGGGACGAAAGCGACGGTGGCGGGGTTGTAGCCGACCTTCTTGATGAAGTTCTTGGTCTCCTTGATGATCTCCTCGAAACGAGCCTGGGACCACTGGGTGGTGTCCATCTTGTTGATGGCAACGATGAGCTGCTTGACACCGAGGGTGTAGGCGAGAAGAGCGTGCTCACGAGTCTGGCCATCCTTGGAGATACCAGCCTCGAACTCACCAGTACCAGCGGCAATGATGAGAATAGCGCAATCAGCCTGGGAGGTACCAGTGATCATGTTCTTGATGAAATCACGATGGCCGGGGGCATCTTTTGAGGCAATAGTTAGCATGAGTCGGGACAGAATGTGTTGGGTTGTTATACGACATACCGATGACGGTGACGTAGTACTTGGGAGTCTCGAACTTCCAGAGGGCGATATCGATGGTGATACCACGCTCACGCTCGGCCTTGAGCTTGTCAAGAACCCAGGCATACTTGAAGGAACCCTTGCCGAGCTCAGCGGCTTCCTGTTGTTGATAGTCAGTATCATGTCTTTGTGTGAAGCAACTGGTGTTGCTTTTTGATGTTGTGAACGCGGGGTAAGTGGGTCTGTGCGCGACCACGCAAAAATCTGCGTGCTCCACCCCCGCCACAAGACGAGGGGCTGCCATCAAGCCAGCCCAACGGGCAGAAACCCAAAAGGTAGCGAAATGGCAGAGCGCGGGTGATGAATGGTGATGCTGATGAAGAGCTGAGCAGATGGCGACTAACCTTCTCGAACTTCTCGATGGTACGCTTGTCGATACCACCGCACTTGTAGATCAAGTGACCGGTAGTGGTGGACTTGCCGGAATCGACGTGGCCGATAACGACGACGTTGATGTGAGCCTTGTCTTCCTTACTGTTGCTGTCGTTAGCAAATGATGCAGAGAACGAGTCGCGCGCGCGCAGTCTGATTGATTACGACGACGATGCGACAATGCGACGATTGATGAACATACCCCATTTTGACGGTTGATGTGCTTTCTGACGACTTGTCGCTAGAAAATGTGAAAGTGGCAGGAGATTGCTTGAATCAGGTATGCCGACGAAGAGAGGAAGAGAAAGAAAGCTTGAAATAGTTTGGAGGAGGGTTGAGATTTTAAGTCGAGTGGGGAGGGCAAAAGTGGCCTTGGTGGGGTCAGGTCAGCCTGCAGGAGCACAAAAAAAAAAATGGAATAAAAAAGTGGGACTAGCCCTCAAAATCGTCAAAATTTTGGCCTCCACCCTTGCTCATGCCGCACCTTGCCGTCCCAAGCTCCCCCTTCACGTACCGAATTATTGTTCGCCGAGTACCATTCACAGCCCCTCAGCGCTATTCAATCGCATTCACCACCCTTGTTGCCTAGCCAAAAAGTGGATATTCTGAAGGTCTGATTTCACTTTTCAGACTGATTGGTTGCCTCCATCGTCGCCATCACCGAAATTTCGTCTCAGATCAGAAAATGCACACAAAACGATGAATGAGTTCAGTTTGCAAAATCAGCCACTACAGTCTGATGGTATCAACAGTTGGTGGGAGTGAAGGCTGCAATCGGTCATCCTATTGTGAGCTTTCCCTCTTCCGACTGGCTGCCTGCCTGCTTTGCCCCTCTATCTCGCTGCCCCTCTTTCGGTTGAGAATTGCACGAGTTGTAAAGCGCCTGTTTGCCCCAATATGTATCTCGATGCTGATCCCTGGCATTCACCTCACCCCTCCATGGCATCCCTCGCTGTGCGCATTGAGCTGCCGGAATAACTGACAAGCGACTGTTGTTGAATTTTTTTCTTCTCTACGCTACCCACAAGCTTCACAAGCTACGACGCTGTAGTTCAATTTGTGGATATGGTACATTGTCAGTGATATGAAGGTACACAACTCCATGAGATCGGCCTGCTTGCTAGCCGTGAAGGGCTCATGCAGTTTGGGCTTTTTCCTGGCGCGTCTGGCTTCCAGCCCAACCACAGGCGATGCGACAATGGATCTGATGAGTTTCTCTGGCGGCCGGCGTGACTCAAATTTTTTTTAATTCGCTGGTGAAGGATCACCCCGCAATGTTGCCGCACAGGGGCAGTGTTGCTTTTCGAAACCTTGTTGACCGCGCGAACGTGTAGGATGTCGAGATTATCGTGAAGGCGTGGCCATGAATATCGCTCTGTCCGCCTATGCCTTTTGCGACTCCTCTTTCGGGCTCTTGGGATCATGCTTCTCTCACACTTCGGATTTCACAGTCCGCTCCACCACATGCCCCGGGAGGTGCTCTCCCTCGCCATGTCTGCATGCGTTGGTTCTCACTTCTGAGGCCTGGGCGCCTGCCTTTCCCCGGGAGCAGATAGCGTTTTTGGTGCCGCATGCTGTCCATGCCCTGCTGTCGGCTGCGTTGGTACAAGTCAGATGCAATGCCACTCAACCTGGCATGTCTGGATTGTTTGACATTGAGCTAGCCAGGCCAATGGCGGCGTAGAATTCCCATTTCACCCAGGTCTCGTGTGAGACGCTGCCCGAGACCAACGAGAACGCTGATGCAACCGCGAATGAAACCTCACATTTTCTCGAGAATCGCGCTCTTTGATTTCTACAGGGTTAGGACTATGAGAGAAGCCCATCACGCCCATCCCTTTAGCTGTGAAATTGTATCATTTTTTGCCAAGACTGTTTCCGGCCAGTCGGCTGGCCTGTTTTTTATCCACTTCTACTTCTTGGCCTCAAAGCTACCGAGACTTTGCCAAGTTTGCAGCACTTTTGACCTTACAACACATGCGGAGTAAGTACCGGAAGTAGGGGGTGGCCTTGGCATAAAATGATACAATTTCACAGCTTAAGACATGAACACTCCTCGACGGGACCCTCGTCGCCCGGCTCATTCTGCTCCCGTCTGCGGAGTTGTGATAACGTTATCAAGTGGGGTTTGGCAAAAAGTCGAAGTGGAACAGCATCAAGCTTTTTTTTTTTCTCACGCCAAAATCGCAATCTGGGCTCGCTGGGCTCCGAGTCTTGTCCCGAGTCGGAAATCCTTTGTCCGTCAAGGTCCTCCTCCTCCGCCTCCACCGGATTGGTGAACCTCTCCCGTTTTCTCTTTTATCCCCGCCCTGCCCGCCACTGACGACCGGCAGAGCCCGTTGAACAGCTGCAACGGTTTCGTCCTCCTCCCTCCGCCTCTTTTTCCCTCTCTTCTTATTGGATGAGTTTGGGTGGGTCACGCGGCGAGAACCCCGCAATGGTTTGCCGCCTGGCCCCGGACCCCGTTTGACTTTTTGGCCGCTGGTGGCACGGCAACCACAGATGGATGATGGATGCCCGTTGAGTTTCACGATGAAAACATCACCATAGTTGATGAGACGCCGTGATTGGCGTCAGACGGGGCGACGTGCGGTCGGCTATGGGGCCTTAGAATGATAATAGACAACCCGAAAATGACACACTCCGGCGTCTTGTCCTCACAGCAAGAGGTTCATGAAGCCAATGTGAAAATAAAGCAAAATACTTCCTAATTAGTACTCATTTGCGGAAGCTCCTCGCTCTTGCCTTGTTGCCCTGTCGCCTTCCCGTCTTCGTTTGGGGATAGCTTCAGATGAGGAGCTTTGGCCCAGAATCTCGGTGGCAAATTTGCCAAACCACCGGCAGTTTCATCTTGGAATCTTGGGATGAACTGTGAGATCTGTGAATCTGTTCCAGATGGTTCTCGATCGTCCCAGGCACACCAAGCAATCGTGTCGTCCACAAACTTTGGGCTCGCCCGTTAGGACTGAAGCCCGTGAATGCTCGAGTCGAGGACTCGGACAATGACGAAGTATCTAGGACGAAACAGGATAGCAAACAGCATCGTGACTAAACATGCTGTGCGATATCTGATCTCATCGAGTTATTTCACGTAAACGTATAGCGTTCTCTGTTCTTTCAAATCTTTGAAAGCCACACAAGTGGTAAGACTTCTAGGTATTCGCACAACGAGTTTCATGATGTAAACAAAAAAGTGACAGCCAAGGGATATCTGATATGTACATCTTGGCTTTAGCACTGGAAGCTCATCATCAAGCTTTCCGACGGCCTTCTTACATATCGACAGAGAAAACAGCATGCTTGGGTATCTCGCTAACGTGAAGGATATAATTTCAACTTGTCCTGGAAAGCTCTCGCACATGAAAACGAGTGTTCTACGTCAACCAGTACCGTCGTGGTGAACAGTTCTCTTTGCTGATAATTTTGCTTGCGGTTTGTGTCATCGAAATCTTGCACGACTTATAGTTCATGGTTAGCAGATTTCGAAACTCTTTGAAACATCATATTTGGTCTTGTTAATCATCAGCCGTCAACTCGTATAAGCCGTGGTAGGACAGCATAATCATCTCGGCGAGAACAAAAAGCGGTTGAAATTGAAAGCTGTTGAAAAAGGTCTTGAGACAACCGACACTCCAGAAAATGCGTCCATTGCAGCTTGCCTGCACCTGCGGTAACCATACGTCATACCCACTTGGGGTGCGTTTCCCGGGTCGTGATCCGATCGATCGATATTTGATCGACCTGTCCTGGGAACTTGCTTGGGGGGACCGGCCCTGATATCAAGAAGTCTGGCCGACCAAACACTGGGAGAAACATTGTCATTTAATACTTTCATATTTCATCCTCTATCGCCTGGCTTAAGTGATAATCATCATCATCATCATCCCGTTCCGTGTGTCCAACCATTTATCTTTCTTTTCTTAACCCTGTACTTGAAGGTATCTCATCGTATACCAAGAACCCATACCCATCCCGGACTCACTCCCTTACCGTAATCTGTCTACCAGGCAGTAATGATAGACTAATGAACCCTTCCTAGGACTGCAAGTTCATCCCACTTGTATGATATTACTCCCCATCTGACTCCCTCCGATCCTCGCTCCACCTCCTTTACTGGATGAGCTGCGAGATCTCCTCGTCGTTAAACCCAAATAGGTAAAGCAGATCGAGCAAGCTATCACCGTTCAGTCTCGCGCTCGCCTCCATCTGCACCCTCGGCTTCGCGTTCCACGCAACACCCAGACCAGCCGCTTCCATCATGAGCAGATCGTTCGCGCCGTCTCCAACCGCTACCACCTGATCCAGCGGGATGCCCTCCTTGCCCGCAATCTCGATCAACAGCTCACGCTTGCGCTCAGCACCGACAATGCGACCCTTGACCTCGCCAGTCAGACGACCAGTTGTCTCGTCAATGATCACCTCGTTCGCGTGCGCATAGTCAATACCGAGCTCGCCGGCCAACCAGCTCGTCAGGGGCAGGAAACCACCCGAGAGGACAGCAGTCTTGACACCCAGACGCTTGAGGGCGCGCAGCAGGGGGCGCACGCCGTTGGTAACGTCCAGAACGGGACGGAGCTCGTTGAAGAGTGTGCCAGGGAGGCCGGTGAGCAGCTTCACGCGCTCGCGGAAGGCGGAATCGAACTCGAGCTCGCCCATCATGGCGCGGTGGGTGATGTCAGCGACGCGGGCGGCGAGGTCGGGCGGGTCCTTGATGGTAGCAGCGAGGAGGTCGATAACCTCCTGTGTGATAAGAGTGCTGTCCATGTCGAAGACCACCAAGCGAGGATACCTGCGGAAGAGAGTGTCGGTGCGCAGGGCGACATCGACGTTCCATTCGCGCTCGAACCGGTAGATAAGCTCGTGCTTGCGCAAGTCCGCAAGAGGGAGATAGTCAAGCGAAGGGCCGGGAGAGAGGGTCAACTCGACCACGAGTGGGTGGTGGTCGGGGGTCTGATCGAGCTTCAAGCAGCGGTGGGCTGAGTTCAGGTCGGAAGAGCCGGGAGGCAGCGGGAAGCTAGACATAAGGTGAAGAAAAGAGGTGATGCACATGGGCGAGATGTAGGATCCGTAGAGGTGGTCGAGAGGCTCTGGTTCGGCGGTAGGCGGCTCGAGGGGGAAGGTGTCGAGGCTGCTGCTTGGGGCCATGTTGGCTGGGATCTCAGAGTCGGAGGCGCGGCCCTTGGGAGACTGGCTCCCAACCGGAGAAGACGCCTGCTGGGGCGAAGGAATGGCATTGGAGATGCGCGGCGCCGTGGACTTGTAGTAGAGAGTTGCGACGAGCTTCTCGCTTCTGGTGCCGGGAGCTGGGGTACAGTTGGGGTGGGAGAGTTCGTGGCTCAGCCCACTCTCCACGATGGTCGGCGGGTGTTCAGGAGAAGGAATGCCCTTGAAGCGGGCGACGCCCTTGGGAGGGTGGATGGGTGATGGCGAGGCCGCGATCGATGTCGCGTTCATGTCCTCGACAACCGTGTCGATGCCATAGTGCCCCTCAGGCTTGTTGGGAGCACGGTACTGCTGGTGCTCCTGGAGGTACGAGCTGCTCCTCATGTTAGAGGACAGCGACGGCCGTTGAACCCGGGCGGTGTTGCTCTTGTCGGACATGGTTGCGATCTGGATTATGCGACTCGATGCTGTGACCAACACTTGCGCAGGTGTGTTCGAGGTCCCTAGTAGAACGCGACAAGCGGTTAACTGCCTAATCGTGGCTGTGAATAGTGACACCCAAGGGGAACGTGTTGTAATATGGACGGCTTAGGGTTGTCGAGAAAAGAGATAGAGAGAACGCGAGGGCTGGCCTGTGTTGACGCAACCGGACGATAGGGTGAAAGTGTGACTGGATACTATCAGCGATCAGTCAATAGGGAGTCGTGTTTCGCTCTCCGGCGTCAAGGACGGGCACACTGGGGGACTCCAACCGAAGTGGAAGCGGCATGCACGACCCCACCAAAAGCCTGGTTTGGCACCCGTGCTGCCCCGCCCGGGACCTTGACAATGGAGCGGCTTTACCGGGATCGGGGCACGAGACACGGCACGCCATGCCTTCCTCCGTTCTGGTGGCGTATGATTTGCGCCTGGATGGAAGGGATCAACAGGAGAGCGCCGTTGGCGACGAGGAGGTGCCCAAGGCAAAGTTGGCACAGGGTTTCAGAATCGCATGACAGGCCACCTATTTGCGCCCATTTGGGAACAATCGGCTTTCGGCATGTCCATGTCTATCACCATTTTGGGATTTATCTTTGGGAGTTGGAAGATGGGCTTTTGGAGATCGGTGGATAGCAAAATGAATTTCAGCATCTCCGGACACCGTCGAGAAAGTGCTTGCTCACAATGTTCACACCAGCAGTGGAAAGAGCGATGTTGGTGTTATTGGAGCGGATATCGCCCGGCTGTCGGTAACGAAACTTGACTCTCAAAAGTCGACATGTGAGTGACTGAATCCTGATACGGTACTCGCAGCACGGAGACAGTTGCAATGCGTCTGTCATCATGGAAGCCTTTCCGGAATTAGGTACATTGTTTCCTGCTGTTGGTGTGGTACTATAGGGGTGGCACAAAACCCAAGACAGATGACAGAAGAAGAAGAAGAGATGGTAGCCTGACTTGAAAAAAATATTCTTTACCAGACTCAGCTATCTTGATGCCCTCAAATTCATGATGCAGAAAGGGTCCAAGAAGCGCGATACCGGTGCGGTGGAAGCAAAAGTAATCGCAAGAACGTTCCATTCCGATGTGGATTTGTCGCGCCTTGTGGGGCCAAGCAAAAGACAAAAGTGACATCACTCGCGACTTTTGGTTGCTCGACGCTGAAAGACGGCTGCAAATGTCCGAGGGCTGTGATTGGATGGCACCTGGTTCTACTTGTAAGCAGAAGCAGCTTAATCAGGACTCTCATCAAAACTCAACACCAAAACCGCATGCTCTAGTGTGCACTGCATGATATGGCAGCGGCTGATAGATCGCGCTAGAACTTTGCCATATTTTCTAAGCATGGGAACACGATCACAAGCCACGGCAAAGGAGAGTGCAATTTTGGTAGGTACTGGATGACGTTAATGATCGAGACTCGGGGTCTCTGACGAGTGACGACAGCGTGCCTTGGGGATGCCAGGGGCACCGGAGCGAGACACGGAGCGAGGGGGTTTTGACTTTTGAGCGACCAAAAGAAAGTCTTCCTCCTGCAAGTGGTTGGAGCCTCTGACTGTGCTCGCCACAAAGAAGTTGACACCCCTGGGGTCGCAAGTCAACTCGCTCGTAGCGGGCGGGCGGACGTCCTTTCAAACCGTCCGATGTGAGAAGACGCTACGGCATATAGACCCCCACAATAAACAGGCCCCATTGACCAATGACAAGTCGTCCAGATGTCGTGATCAGCCTCCTTTTCAACACCACCATCCCAAAGAAACCGACATGCTGAGAACGACGCTGCAATTGCGTCTTCGGCCCCGGTCTGACACCGTTCTTCGGCCGTCATGGGTCCAGTCAATGTGCCTTAGAAAAGGTGTACGGCCAATGCTAACCCGTTCTCTGCAGTCGTAGGTGTGGATGGTGTGCTCAGCGCCCGGCGTTTGAAGTCCAACAGATGCCTTGACTTGCGGAATTACTAATGATTCCTCGTTTCGTCCTGCTTCACTCTGTGCCCCGGACTCGCAAGAGTTGAAATCGGAACCGCGGAGAACCCCAGACTTCTCGGATCATAAAGATGCCTCAAATCCCAGCCCCAGTCCCACGCTAAACCCGCCTAGCCCATATTATCTCCGGATTCTCTTATAAGCCACTCTGCCCCCGTTCTTTGAAGCGTAGTTTACCTGGTCTTGTTTCCATATCCAGTGATTCTTAGCTCCATCGTCCATCACCCATCAAGGTTGTAGCCGGTCGTTGTCCAAAAGTGGTCGTCACATATACATCATCACCACTCGCTCACACCAACAGACTCAGCACCAAGCCTCATCCATCCATCCAACCAACCGTCCATCTTCAAAATGGCTGCCGAGCAACAGTCCCAGACTTCCACCAGGGCCTCGTCCCCCAAGCTTGACGGCAAGTTCGACGACAATGCCTCGGTCGACTCCGGCTTCGCTTCCGGAAACTCATCCACCGCCAACCTTCCCTTGATTTCTCTCACCAAGCCTCACCTTGACCACCTGAACAAGCAACTCGAGAACATGGAGGCGCTCGACATCCTGCGCTTCTGCAAGACCCTCTTCCCCAACCTCTTCCAGACCACCGCCTTCGGCCTGACCGGTCTCGTCACGCTCGACATGCTCTCCAAGCTCGCCAAGGACTCTCCGGCGGACGCGGCCCCGGTCGACCTCATCTTCCTCGACACGCTCTACCACTTCAAGGAGACGTACGCACTCGTCGACCGCGTGCAGGAGCGCTACCCCAACATCCGGCTGCACGTGTTCAAGCCGGCTGACGTCAATACCGTCGCCGAGTTCGAGGTCCTTTACGGCGAGAAGCTGTACGAGACCTCCGAGGATATGTACGACTGGGTCGCCAAGGTCGAGCCGCAGAACCGCGCCTACCAGGAACTGAAGGTGGCCGCCGTCTTCACCGGCCGCCGTCGCTCCCAGGGCGGCGCGCGCGGTTCCATCCCCGTCATCGAGCTGGACGAGGAGCGCGGCATCGTCAAGATCAACCCGCTTGTGAACTGGAGCTTCCAGCAGGTCAAGGCCTACATCGACGAGCACCAGGTTCCTTACAACGAGCTGCTTGATAAGGGGTACAAGTCTATCGGTGACTGGCACTCGACTAGCCCCGTCGCGGTGGGCGAGGACGAGCGTGCGGGACGCTGGAAGGGCAAGAATAAGACCGAGTGCGGAATTCATAATAAGCAGAGCAGGTATGCCCAGTTTTTGGCGGAAAACGCGAGGAAGCAGGCGCAGGCTGCTCCTGCTGCTGCTCCAGCTGAGGCGGTTCAGGCTTGAGAAAGACGGAAGGTAAAAAGAAAGAAAGAGGAGTGGCTGAAGACAAGCTTCAAACCCATGGTCAGCTGGCATGGGAGAGACACTTGGGCCGGCCACGGTTGGCATCTTTCTATTCAGGACGCATTGGTTTTTTTTGCTGGATGTGTTGAGAGGATGATCAGCACCATTGTTGTGGAGGGGAATCATTCAAGTATATCTGTTAGCATCGTGGCGTTTTGAAAATGGGCGGGCATTCGGGCAGGCGTTTTGGGTTGGGGGGAACACACATATATATATCAGCGACTCCTGAGATGGGAGTCCCTCGCATTGAGTTGCGTTTAGATACGATCTGGGTCTTGGGATTTGAAAGACAAATACAAACAGCATCGTTGGGTATGAATACAATTTTGCCCTTGTCTGTGAAGTTGATCAGTGAATATGCGTATTTGTTCATGGGTGATGTTTGATGCTTCGAATACGTAAACGGCCAATTGATGTTGTGTTGGTCAGGTGCTCAGGAGCGCCACTGCGTTCTCTGATTCGCCCTTGAGGTTCAAGTTGAGAAGCCAGTCGGATCACCACGGCGAAGACCGCCTGTGACACTGGTGGCCTTGGCGGCAAGTACAACCTTAGCCTCTCAATGTGAGTAATCTTGAATTGACAAGGTAAAACGAGTATAAATATGGGAATGAAATGTAAGCCAGATAGGACTGAAACTGATGTTGTCGGCAGATACTTGAGAATTCTTTCATAGCTTGCTATGGAACGGGCAATAAAAGCTTGGCCTTCTCCTCAGCATACACCAATGACACCAAAGAGAGCGACATCAACCTCAAATCTCGTAGGACACATACATGTACTCTCGATGTAGTGCAAACTTATTCTATAGCCGATTTTACCCCAACCGTCACGTTTGCCGTCTCTGAAGCTCTCTGTTCTCATTCCTCCTAAAGCCAGGTTTCATCCAAATTCCAGGGACCCAGCTCGGCATCCATTGTCGCCAAAAACCGGTTCTCGTCAAAATCCTCGTTTACTCCAAGGCCCCCTTACTCCTGGTTCGACGGTTCAGCGACCTGCTGTACTGGGTCTGCTGGTTCCGATTCCTTTGGAACACTGTCACCACCGGCACTGGGTGCAGTGGAAGCAGAACCTTCTTCCTTCTTTTGTCCCTGCTCCTGCTGGTACCCCTCTTCCTTATTCTCCGCTAGGGTGACTGCGGCGGCCTCTGTCGGCTTTTCTTCCTCTCCGACAGTAGTAGCAGTAGTGGGAGCAGTGGTGGCATCGGTAGTGGCATCAACAGTAGTCTCGGTACCAACTTCATCTGGCTTGACAGTAATGCCTCCCGCTTCCTCTGAAGCTGCCTCTGCCTCTAGCTTTGACAGTGGCTTTTCTTCGCTAGTGCTGGTGTCTTTCTCTTTATCTACCCCGCCGTTGCTCTCCGTTTCGGTAGCAGCACCGGCACCGGCATTGGTAGCGCTTGCGGCACTACCAGCGCGGCTCACCTCCTCCTGACGGTCTAGTTCCCTCTCGAGACTGCCGAGCAAGTTAAGCCCGTCATCTTCATCTTCCGTCGTAGCAGTGGGGAGCAGGGCCGGGGAGTCTGGAGGTTGGAGCAAAGGCTCTACTATCGCGGGCGCAGCATCATTGGCAAGTTGCTCCTGGAGTACATCTACCTCGTCCATCGCTGTGTCTGCGGGAAGAGAGGATTCTACCAGTGCTGATGCTGTTTCTGTGGTCGCGATGGTTGTTTCTGATGCTGTTGCTGCCGCCGTGGTGGATGTGGTCGACGCAAAAACTGACGTTGGAGCGTCTGGTCGCAACCCAGGCAAGCTAAGTGCAGCCTCAAGATCCTCAACTTTGGCCTCGGCAGGTGGAGCAGATTCTGCGGGTTGTTGTAGCTGCTCAACACCGGTATCGATATCCATTGCGGTGTTGTCATTTGCTGTATCCCCGACATCTGCGGCGGACTGCTCAGCCTCTACCACCGTTTCGGAAAGCAACGCGGCACTGAGAGAGTTGCCTTCCGCATCGACCTCCTTCGCCACAGACGTAACTTCGGTCTTGACGATGTCTACATCTGTAGACGGGAAGAAGGAACCGTCAACTCCGGGCACATCTGACCTAGACTCTGGCGGCTCGGTGGGCGATCGAATCATTACATGTTTCAACGGACTCCCTTCAAGTCTCGTTGAAGCGAGTGACCCGAGTGTTGGCGGGGCAAGGCTGCTACCGAGGCGCGATCTGGCAGCAGTATCTTCCTCATTGGAAGCATCCTTTTCTTCTGGCTCTTCGATTGAGCTGGGCCGAATAATTTCAGACGCTCCTGCATCAGTCATCTCCTGGTCTTGGTCCTGACTGAGACTGTTATCGACACCCGGGGTCTCGCCTTCGACCATGCTTTCGTCGGCATCACCTTCCTCCTCCCCTTCATCACCGTCGTCGCCGTCGTCATCATCGGAAGGAATATGTGAAGAATCGGCCATCTCACTGTCTTGGTTCGCACTGTCACCGGCTTCTTCTTGTTTGATACCCTATGCCGTGTTGTTAGCTTTGCTAGCGAGTGTGATATTTGTCAATTGATGACTTACGTTCAGTGGAGTACCCTCGACCTTGACCTGTGCATTACCCGCCTCTGCCGTGGTCGGCCCTGGCCGTGTTGTTGTTGGGATTGGCAACTTGCCCTTCTTGCGACCTCGGCCGGGACCCTTGGCCTTCCGCTTGGGTGGAGGAGGCCTTCTCCGGACAGGTGCAGGCGGCGCAGCCTGCGCTGCAGCTTCCTGGGCCGCGACGACTGGCGCCGGCACCACTGTTTTTGATATGATCTCGCCATCAACCTGTTGTCCCTCGGCCAAGGTGATAGTCTGCTCGTAGGGGTTGCCGGCAGCATCTATACGTCGGACTTTTGCTCTGGTGACCGTAGGCCCCTGAGCTATGTGTACCAGTGTTGACTTTGGTGGTAATGTGACCGTGTTCTTATGGCGCTTGGCCAGATGCGATTCAGCAGGCCCTTCGATGTTTCGCGGTGTCTGCTTCCACATCTTGACTGTGAACCCTTCCGCAGCCGCGTCGCTCTCCTTCTTGTCGCCTTTGATATTGTCGATGTCGTTGTTTTCATCGTCGTCATCGGTCGGGGCAGGTCGCTTATAGAGTCGGCCAGAGCGAGCCGCGCGCAGAAGCTCCTGACTGTGGGCTGGGAGCAGCTTGGTTTCCTTAGGCATGCCAAAGGGCAACTCGACGTCCCAGATGTCGTTCTTCTGCGTCGCCTCTGCAGGCTGGGAGGTGCCACATTGACCCATTCCTGTCTCCATTGGCGTACAGGTAGACCCTCGAAGTCGTCGTGTTCCGGGAAACCGCTCCGAGCACCGCGCCGAGTTTGGGCTGCTGATCGATGGTACTAGTGTTGCGCAAACACAGCCGCATAGTTAGGAGCAGTTCAGTTGTGACAGCAAGCAGGAACTCGGGACGGGACGAAGGCGAGCAAACTCACGGTGGGCGCCATTGCAAGTGCGGCAAGGTCTGTCTAATCAGATACCAAACTCCAGCTGTTCTTTTCTTATGTCCAAGCAAATAAGGACAAAACGCCAAACAAGTCTAATTCCGGTGTGCTGATGTCCAAAACCCCGGTAGCTCTATCCAAGAGGGAGGTACGTGATGTATAATAGTAATCGCAAAACACGATGGTTTAATATAGTCGAAAGCAAACACTAAATAGAAGTGGATGCAACATCGGTGGGTGGTTGCAAGTCGGGGGTGCAAAGACTAAGTGCTGCTTATTCTGCCTCTGTGCTGTGTTGGAACTTCAATAGAAGGCTGGATGACGATGAACAATAAGATGGATCGGATGAAAGCGACGAGATGCTGGGTTACGTTTCGGTTTGGCGCGAACTATAGAATATGTGATTGAAGAAGAGAAGCAGAGCCGAAAGCCGTATTGTAGCTTCAAAACAGAATCTTGATGCCGCCCAGCTAAGAATGTTGTTGATGGAAGGATGGGAGAAGTTGACAGGCGATGTTGCGCGTCGCATTCAAAGTCGCGGCGGCCAAACTGACACTGCGACAGCCTTCAATTGGCTCCCGCGGCACTGCGACGGCTTGCCCCTGCAGTGGCCACTGGTCGCCCACTGGGGCAGGAAGCGCTGACCAGGCCAAGACAGCCATGCTTGATATATGCATTTTACCTTCTTAAGGCTGCTCTTACTGCCAAGCAGACCGCGGATATGCAAGGAACGAGTTGATCCAGATGTAACAGGGATTCGCAGGTTCTGATGGTGATCCGGAAAGCTGGTTATCATGACACAACATGACCAAGACAGAATTCCAACCCGAGGAAACCCCTCCGTACAATGGTTCCAGACCGCTGTAAAATGGATCTCGTGCCGATTGTATCATCATCTACTCAAAGAAAGTCCCCATTAGCCACCATCTTGGGCTCGTGTGCCTGCAAAATCAAGCCTGGTATCTCATTGTCTTTCCTGCGGGCTCGAACAGGTGTACTGTTCCCCTATCCTTCACTCATAGTATACACATATCCCTTTTTCTTCTTGTCGTGAAAATTTGTACAATGCTATAACTAAACAGGGCTTTTTGATCACAGCCACTTAGTCCCAGCTGAGGTTTAGTTCGTTAGCGAGACAGCTCTTCTGGAATCCTCTGGGATCTGCTACTCAGGTTTTGACTTACCCGAGATCCTTCTGCCTCATCTTGCTACCTTCGTTGTCCTTGCCCTGCGAGCTGTTAGATCACTTCTGTTTTTCTCCACTCGCCCATTCATGGAGAGAGCATGATCACTTACCGAGAGCCCGCCCTCGACGACCAAACGATCCTGCTGGTAGAACTGGCTGATCACTGTTTGGCGCTATTCTAATGTCAACTTGTCTGTATCCTCCATGTTGCGTCTGGGACAAGGGCCTAGCATACCTTGAGCATCTGGAGGTTCTGCAACCCCTTCTGCACAAGCTCCTGCACTTGCCTAGGATCCTCCACGTTCTTGTTCTCCCGGAAAGCGTCTCTTGTACGGCGCTTGGCGTACTCTCTGAAGTTGTAAGAAGAGAACTGGTTTCCCTGGCGCAGAAGTTGACGGTACTGTTGGTTAACACAGATATGTTAGCACGCATGTTCTTCTAGCAAAAGGAAATTTGTGATCCAGGAAAGGTAAGCGTAAAAGGGCATGCTGCGTACCAGCGACAGCACTTTGCCGGCCGACTCGCCGGTCCTCGCGACGGTAGACATGTCGATTGGCTTCCTGGTCGTTCCCTCTCTTTGCTTGTATGCTTTTTGCTTCGTACGATTTGGCGCACTCGTTGCTGGGGGATGGACGTAGATGCGGTTGGAACGGGGTCGTATTATTTATGTCAAGGCGCCGGCGAATATGGCTCGTCGATCGGTCGTGATGATGCTTTGCCGTCGGCCGTCAGCGGTTGCGATGGATATGACGGAATTGGAGATGTCGGCGAAAGCTCGGACGTCCGCGTTCCAGACGTGGTTTGGCGATCTTGGCGCGGGCGCGCATGTGCTGAGTGGCTCGGATATAGAAATACGCTGAGTGTAACTGTAACATGACTGAGAGCTACGGTTACTCAGCATCTCGATAAGTGAATACTCTGTGGCATCATGATACCCATGATGGCTTACAACTTCTCTCTTTTCCCAATTCCACCAACTTTCGCCAGCCACTTCCTTCCGCTTCTGGATCTCTTTGTGTTACTGCCAGTTTCGAGTATGGATCATGATCCCATCACAACTCTCATAATGGCCGTTCTGCGCCGAGTCACGTGGCAGCACATATTTACAGTATCTTAAGGCTCACATGTCTCGCACTCGATCGGAAGTTACAAATGTATCGCACTGAACACACCGAGTACCATTACTCATTTTGGTAGTAGGAGGTGTTTCGTTGATCGGAGAAACCCAACCGAGCCTGATACAAGTGATTCCGGATTACCACAAGACATGCCACAGTTTTGTCACAGCCTCTGGAATCGAACAACCGATATCGAGCTATTCATGTTCGCGCGTTTTCAGCACGGCCACTCGGTGATCTATCAAAAACGGACGTTCTGGTCTCTCATTGATACAAGATTCCGAGGATCTGGCGAAGGGTCGGAGGTTCTATATGAGGAGAGCCGTTTTGTACGATAACGGACGAAGGCATACCTAGGTTGTCTTCCCGAGCCAGGCTACTTTCGGGGGGCGCTTTGCCTGTCGAGGGGACGACTGGTCCTGTTCATTCTGGTCAAAAATTCGAAAAGGCACCGGAAGGAATCAAGATCTTGGTTGACGGATGCTCGGGTCTGTTTCCGAACGTCAGCACGTCATGTCCTGGGAGCTTTACGGCTTTTGACGCCGAATCCAACTTTGGCAGTTCAAGCAAGATCAGCCATCCACAACGGCAAGGGGGAACGGCTTTCCTGGCTTATTGGGCGTCAAGCCTGATACCTTCATGAGGCCGGAGTCCTTGGAAACCATAAGGCCAGTTAAGTATCGGATAGGTTGGGCTCCATTTGACCCAGATGGGCCGCCTGATGGAGGACATCTGCCAAGAGAAGGCCTGCACGAGGACCTCGCAATGGCCAGGGCGACAGCAAGTTTCTGACTGTGGAAGTTCATTGATCTCCGTAGTTCCTTGGAGAAGTTGTATGATAAGGCGGGGCCGCTGCGCAGGAGAGATATCGAGATCCGGGGATGGAAGTGTCGATACGACTGATGGTGTCACTCCGGATTCCAGCTCAGATCTCGCTTTTGCTGAAGCCTGCCACCGAGATTCAAAGGTCATACTCTGGTCCCCGCGTTAGCCAGGAGAATTCCAAGCAGGATGTATCAAACAGTCAGTCGGAGTGAGGCTAAAAAGCCCAGGCACGCACTCGACAGCTTGTGGCGGTTGTACTCGTACACCCTCTCGCGGCATGACAGCTCTGAATACCACCCATGTTACCTGGTTACAAGTCAGAAAACAACGGGAGCAACTGTGCTATGAGAAAACCAAGGGTTGCAACCGGACAAAAATACCTCGCTTTTGACAGCGATAACGGCCCTTTCTGATCTGACCGTGAGCCCGAATACTACATTCCGCAAAATGTCCAAGTCACCGAACCCAAGCCGTTGAGCTTTTGGCTCCGAGAAATGGCTGAGCGAAAGAGTAATGATATGCTCAATGATGCAAGGAGTCAGCTGCTCAAAGCCTTTCGGCCCTTGTTCCGCTCGCGTGACAAGTCTATGGACACAACAAGGAACCTTGTCATCCTAATATCGAGCCCATGGGGCTGTATATAAGATCGTGATCCTTGGCAGGAGTATGCCAGGTGGACGACATCGGGCCTTCTTCCTCCGCGATCCTAACAGGTAACGCTGGAGGCTCAGAGTGTTCCGTCATTCTAGAACCGGTCTGTCCCGAGATAGTTTATCTTGCGGTCAGATTCCAAAAGGCTTGGCTTTCGTTCCGCTGTTCCATTTTGACGGCAGACCTCCTTCCCTCCCTCCCCCCACGTTTTTCATGATGACAAGGAGCACACATGAATTTGATTTGGAGGGGTCATGTTCCCCACAAAGGGCCGTTATTGACTTTTAATCTGTGCTAGAGAAGCTTAGTTTAAGCGAGCGGGATTATACGACTCTATGGGCAGATCATGCCTGAATAGTTCCTGGTAGTTCGTACCGCTTGCAGAAAGATGTCAAGGAAGGGATCTTCGATGGTCTTGGGGTCGGGCCGTTTTGACCTCGGAATCGCTTGTCTTAAAACATCACCAACTCGAGCACAGAATTGCCTAGGCCTTGGTAATATCGGTTTCTACCCGAAAGGCCGGGGAGACTCTTGGCCACAGTTTACTCGCATTCCCTTCGTCTAGAAGTAGTACGGATCATGAAGACATGACGTCGAGCATCACACATGGTCCCTTCTCGGGATGTCGTCCCAGGGCGTTTTCTCCCTAGCCGCCCGAGCCCACCAAAGGATCTGTCAAGGGCGTGGATGACTGCCGGCCCTTTGCATAGCAAGCGTAGCTAAATCGGCGTCTCTTCTGACGTCGTGGGACCACGCATCTCGGGTTCCTACACTAGTACGGGAGCACGTCGTCCACTCTGTTCGTTGTTGCGGTGTCTCTGTACGCTTGTGAATTATCGCAAATGCAGATGCATGGAGATGAAGACGCGGTACGTACACTATCGAACGCTCAGGCCCTACCGCTGATTAGTCCAAGAACTTATTAGCTGCGAATGGCACGATGTCCGAAATTCTCGTGGAGAAAAGCCACGAAGGACCCCTCCAGGGCACATGGGCAAGGGAATATCAAGCGAAGAAGATGGATGTAGCCATAAGCCATCAGAGAAAAGAGAGGAGGTGGAAATACGGCCCGTTTAGCAAGTGGCCTATCATCAAGCAGCAATGTTTGTTGTTTCAGAAGCTGAGCCCTGGGTTCAGGCTGTCTGGTGAAGTCAGGCCTGCGGTTGGTGGCCATGTTGAAGCCAAGACCAAAAACGTGCTACCAAACAAAGACCCCTTGCGGCGATGGGGAGCCAATCAAGGGGCGGCGGCGATTCAGTACTGCCATATTCTGAGGGAACCTTGCTTGCCCAAGCTGGAGCTTCCCTTTTGCGTTGTCCAACTAAACCACCCCGCAGCATCTTGCGTTTGTTGTATACCAATCCTTTTTTCCCTCTTTCCCCAGTCATCGTTTTTTACCCCTGAGATCAATCATGGCAGCCAGACGTACGGTCTCTCCGATTGTCCCTCGGGACTGGCCTAACTGGCTGAAGCCCCTGGGCTGAGCACCGCTGGGCCTCTTGGACGATACATCCTTGCCCTGCTGATCCACGATAGGATCTCCCTCATTCCATGTGCCTCCGAGTAGTTCTCCTTGGAATGGGGCGAAGCGAACCCAATGTCCCAATCTGTTACAGGGCCCCGTGCTTTCGGAGGGCTGGAATCCACGTGCCGCCAGTCCGGTTGGATTTCCGAGCGAGAGAGATTGGGAAGAAGTAAAGTGTCAAGGTGTGTGAGATCAGACTCCCACTTTGCCCAGGCTGGGCCTTTCTTGTCGGCCCAGGACAGTCCGATTCTGGTTGCTCGTCGTACGGGATTGTTTCCGTAGATGCGTGTTCGACCGCCGTGTCGTGCTCATTGCATCCGCCACTGCTCCAGGGGGAGGCACTTCGTCCGGGTCTTGCTCCGCTTGGGCTTAGGCAGAGGGAGCAGAGTGTCGTTGAGTGACATATCTGGCGTTTGTTGGATGGAACACCGTCATGTCCTTTTGCTCCCTGCAGATACCAAGCCGGCGTTGCTCTTTAAGTCTTTTTCTTCTTCTTTTTTTCTTCCTGTGGTCGGGCCGTTACTATTTGACCTGTTGCGAAGGTCCATCTCTAATTTCTTTTTTATTTTATTTTGGGTACGCGATCTACGTATCTTTTCATCCCTCGGCTGGCAGTGGAGTTTTTGTGGTTCTTCCACTTAAACCGTCGTTCATCTAATTCCCGAAAAGGACAATCTCAACAGACGAGAGAATCAGCGACCGACAAACCACCACGCGAGCGGTTCTATTGATCACCGACCTGAATAACGATCGCTTGGTAACATTCAGTGAGTAAGTCAACACTGCTAGCCGTCTATTCACCTTTGCACTCCTTACTTACTCCTCTCTTGCGAAAGCCGACCACGCACCTAAACCACACCCTTACACAGGGCGGCTGTCATTTTAGCATCCTCTCGCTCTTACCCCTTACTCTCATTCACTTTACGTCATTTCGAATTCCAAATCGTTTGTCAGATTTGGAGTCTACGTAGCGGCCGTAAACAAACTGTGCAGTTCACTTTGCCTTTTTGTTCATTCTTTCGTTACCGCCATCACGGGCGCGCGGGGAACTGTTCCCCGGAAACAAGGTCTTTGGTGGATGAAGAGTTGAACAGTATCGAACGATAAACGATTCAACGGTTACCCTTCCCGTCGCTTTCTACTCACCCTAGCGACAAACTGTTGTCACCAGCCGACATCAAATCATACGTTGCCAGTTGCGCAAAAGAGACGGCAAAGCACCTTTTCGAACAGGATTTTCCCAGATTAAATAAGAGGTGACCCTCTGTCGACCTTTGCCAGCAAAGTTTGTGGTGTTTGCCCTGATCGATCAACCAAGGCTCGCAGGCGCAGCCCCATCATCAACCAACAGGTCAAAATCAACAATTGCCGACCTATAATACAAAGTTGTTTACCTAGGCGGCACGGGACCTGGTCATAGGTCGCACGGGTATTATCAGGCAAAGAAGAACCAAGGTCATTATCCTCATTATCCTTCAGAGGCCCAGCGCATCGCTGCAGAATCGACAAGCAGCGCCTCTGCCCCGACGAATCGCGCTCACGCAGGAAAGCAATCAGGACGATTACAAGGCCAACCCAATCTACGATCAAGGTTCGGCCTCATATATCGTCGTCAGAGTCGGCACTACCTGTCCATCCTTCCACGACCGCACTTTCTGCTGCTCAGTACTACATCCGCCGGCCCGGAGCCACAAGTGACAAGTTGGTGTTGAGCAAGAGACGCTCCCCTTGTTTGGAAAAAAAACCCAGCGTTGTTCCGACCAACAAAAGTTTGGCCGAAAGAAAGAGTGTGGTGTTCAAGGTGCGTGCGGCTATTCAGGGCGCCTCCAATTATCAGAGTCTGACACCTGCAAGCCTAAGAAGAGTGACGTCCTGGCTTTGTCCCACGGCCCCGGCACTTACAATCGAACAGTCAGGGACCAAGACACAAAGGGTTTGTTTGCTTCATCCCCCTGAATCCAGCCCAGCGGGCGGCTTGGGCGCTTTACCTGCCCATCCTCGGAGTTCCTGTCTCGTGAGATCGTCCCATCTCGGTGCTGCCCGAGCATGATACGATTATACACTGGCTGGCATCACATTCGATAACATTCACGATTCTGGGTCACTACACGATCTACTTCCTCGAAGCAACACATTTAGGAGGAAGACTACTAGGTACTAGCTTCTCCTAGCTTCCTAGCCGCTTTTCCCCCCATCGTTTGAGGACCTCCTCACCTACCACCGGATCACGTCGAAATTCAAGTATCACAACTACGAAAATGGATATCCTCCAGCGGCGCAGGCTCGCTACCCTCGACTTCAACAACCCGGGCGATCACTTAACGCCGGCAATGCAAATACGAAACGAAGCAACACACACATTACCTGAAGGGGCGAACCCTACCATCGCCCCCTTCAACACAGGACTCAATGGAGTCAATCAACCTATGAACCTCCTGTTTAGGGACATCCTCTGGCTTAGTATGGGGGCGGTCGCCGTCGTGGTACTGGGAGTCAGGATAATAGAGCTATCATGGGCGAAGCTCAGGTTATTATCAGCCATGTCCATCCCAGGCGATAGGCAACACTTTTGGAAGGTCAAGCAATGGAGCTGGATGCCGGGTATGAAAAGGAGTCTCATCTACGCCCCTTTATGGAACAAACGCCACAACCGAGAAATCCGACTCTCGAGCGCCATGAACATGGGTACTCTACCATCGAGGCTCCACAGCGTCCTTCTCGCCCTGTATCTGGCCAGCAACCTAGCGTACATGTTCGCCCTCAACTGGGGCAACGAAAACAAGTACTCCTTCTTGGCTGAACTTCGTGGCCGGTCGGGCACTCTTGCTATGGTGAACATGGTCCCGCTCATCATCCTCGCAGGCCGAAACAATCCGCTTATCGGCCTGCTACAAGTCAGCTTCGACACTTACAACCTCCTTCACCGATGGATGGGCCGTGTCGTGGTCTTAGAGGTGCTCCTTCACATGATCGCATGGGCCGTCGTCCAGATAGCCGACAATGGCTGGGCGGGAGTCAAAGAGAAGACACTCAATGACCGCTTCATCGGCTCAGGAATGTTCGGCACAGCCACCATGCTCCTCATTATGATCCTGTCTCTGTCTCCTATCCGTCACGCCTTCTACGAGACCTTCCTCAATACGCACATCATCCTGGCCTTCCTCTCCTTCGGCGCGACATGGGTCCACTGCGTCACCGCGACCATTGAGGGCGGACTCCCCAGATCCCCTGGATCATCGCTATCTTCAGCGTCTGGGTCGCTGAGCGCCTAGCTCGCATGTTCCGTCTCGCCTACTGCAACTGGTCACGCGCACGCGGAACCACCACCGCCTTCGTCGAGCCCATGCCCGGCGAGACCTGCCGCGTGACCCTGAGCCTCCCACGCTACGTCGACGTCCAACCGGGCACTCACGCCTACCTCCGGTTTAGCGGCGTCCGCTCGTGGGAAAACCACCCGTTCTCTATCGCCTGGGTTGAGCATACCACCGAGGACGAGCTTCTTCCCATCAGCGAAAAGGACGTCGGCGCCGGCACCTCCCGGAGCTTCAGCGTCAAGAAGCCCGTTGCCACCTCCGTCTCCTTCGTCATCGGCGCCCACTCGGGCTTCACCCGCAAGCTGTACAACCGCGCAGTAGCCGGCACCGCCGACCTTCGACGACCCGGCATCACCATCCGCGCCGCCTTCGAGGGCCCCTACGCAGGCCACCATTCGCTCGACAGCTACGGCACAGCCGTCCTCTTCTGCGGCGCCACGGGCATCACGCACCAGATCTCGTACCTGCGCCACCTGGTCGAGGGGTACGCGGACGGCACCGTGGCGACGCGGCGCGTGGTGCTGATCTGGATCGTGAGAGACTTTGAGTCGCTCGAGTGGATCAGGCCGTGGATGGACGCCATTCTGCGGCTGCCGAGGCGGAAAGAGATCCTGCACATCAAGCTGTTCGTGACAAGACCAAAAAACCCGAGGGAGATGGCCAGCGCGTCAAGGAGCGTGCAGATGTTCCCTGGCCGGCCGAACATACCCATGTTGCTAGCCAAAGAGGTGTCTGAGCAGCAGGGCGCCATGTGCGTGACGGTGTGCGGGCCGGGCGGGTTGGCGGACGATGTGAGGCATGCGGTGAGGGGATGTCAGAGGGAGAGAGGGACGGTGATTGATTTTGTGGAGGAAAGTTTTACTTGGTAATTTTTTTCCTTTATCTGTTTGGTCGCTTTTGGATCTACTGGGAGGCCCTTTTTTCTTTTTCTTTTTTGTTGGCGACGGCATCTCACTTTCTCTCATTCCAGTTACTCTCTCTGGTTCTTCTTTCTAGCTAGCATGGCGATATACTTGGTACATCTCCACAGAAAGAAGAAGTAGAAGAAGAACGACAAGAAGAACGAGAAGAAGAACGAGAAGAAGAACCAGAAGAAGCGATTTCTTTGACTTTTTACATACTGGTGTGGAAGAAGGCGAAAAAGGAATGGCTTCAACTTTTGTACATATCGCGAGTCTGCGGCCTGGCTGTACATACATACATAGCATCTATCATGATAATCACAACTACTCACTCGTCTCTGGGATGAGTTTATATGTGAACATACTTTTTGCCCTTGTATTATGTGTCGATGATGAAGTAACTTGCTTCCTCTTACAAGGCGCTTGGTATCGGTGGAATGTATCAACGATTGAGGTCTACGGAGTATGTGTGCTTCGATGCCTCACAATGTAAGAACTCAACGATCAAGTACTACTTGGTGTAGCCACATTCTGGATGGACCGTAACAGGTGTGGAGATTCATGCGAATGAGGCAACACCACTTCTGCTAGTGACCTCCCTTGTTCTCAACAGCCAGTCTCCAGCTTAAGAGTTTAATCTATGTGAGTTTTTCACACGTATGCGACTTGTGGTCGGTTTATATTGATATGACATTGATATTCTCTGGTGGTGATCCCGGGGTTAGATCTGAAGGCCGAGGGTTGTAGCTTGTGATTGGTGGTCGTTACTATGTAGCTGTTAGCGATGAGTACCTACTTAGTATATATTCTTACCAATGCCATGGCGTGGTATAAAACGGCTACCCCTCGAGGACTCATATTTCGCTTGATCAGTTTGAGTCAACGACCCCAAACGTGAGGAGGCGGCCTATATGATGTTCTTAAACGAGGTTGGTTGTGCATGACAGGGCGCGCGAGACACCTTGCTGGACTGGCATGACGCATGGCTTCTGACGGCGTCACAGCGGATGTGCACTAACCTCCGCGCTAGGGAGCTAACCCCGCGGGGATAGTCGATATTTGTTCTTCATGATCTTTCTTCGCTTCTGATTCCATGTTCTAGGTTGAAAACGGAAGACTGTGAAGGCTGTCGAAGATCGGCTTCCAACGGGTTTGGGATAAACATTCCAAACAAATCGCATGATTCACCTAGCAACAGACGTCCGATGATCGGTGATGATACACTTTGGCGGAGAAGAGAGTGGGGCACCCTGGAATGTTTCCCCTGTTATTATTAGTTCAGGTCGGGAGCGGCCTGTCCCTTGTCTGGCCATTGCGCAACCCATCCAGCCCGGGATCCCCGTCGTTGTTGCCGTCAAGGTTCGGTTCGGGATGTCGTATGCAGTGGTATGCCAGCACCGGACCCCGAATCGGAGGAGTGGTCGTCCACAATGGAATTTCTCAAAGTAAACACCAGCTTTAGCTTTTCCTCGGGCCCGGGAGGCCGGACACGCAAATGGCATGTGCAGTGGAGAGGACAGCTTTAGAACGGCTTTGGCTGTCCAATTGACGTGTTGTCCCTGGAAAAGTTTGTTAGAGATTCGTGGCCAACGAGCCAATCCAGGATGGCCAATTCGTGCAAGACGGGACTCGGCGGCAGAGGGAAAGAGGCTCACAGAGAGGATCGACGAGGACTCACTCTGTTAGGACTCAAGAGGAGGGGTGATTGTAACTGACAACTTGTTAGTGCCCCGCCATGGCCTTTGGACTAACAGCAGCTAGGCTGTCTCACGTCGTCTGTGCCCAGATTGATGACAGCAACCATCAAGACATCCAGCGGAAGACGTTGTGGGAAAAGATCTAAACACCCAAACCAGAGCCAGTGGCAATGAACATACATAGATTGCAAGGAGAAGCCATCTTGGACATTCGCCTGACATTCAAGACGAAAGTGTCTGAAGTTGGGCAGAAAAGGGTTGCAGTCCGTCCGGGAGAGTGGGGCAACCCAGAGTCCCCCGTCTTGTGGTTGTTGGAGTTGAAGCTTGGCCCGGGAAGATCTCCCCAGGAAGGCCCATCACGCCCCGTTACCGGAAACGCGCCAGTTGTTCTTCCAAGACGGGAACCAGGTGGAATGACTCAGAAAACTTTCACGAGTTGCTGGTGCCGAGTTGGTTATAATAATGGACCACGTATCATCTTTCGGCCGTCAGATTCTGGGGGAGTAGTATCTTCGTTCTTGAACCAGTTGTACTTTTCCTTTGCAATTGGGGACTTGCCATTGGGATCTTAGCTACGTACATACCTTCACCCCACTTTCCGTCCTTCTTTCTACCGAAGCACGTCAGTCACGACATCATCCTTTGATCTTTCCCATCTTCTGTCCAAACCGCATTGCCTAGTCACCCACTTCGCACCGTATTCAAGATGCCGATGTAAGCACAGCATACAACATACAATCCTACGTCAAGTCCTGCTCGGTGACCCAAGTGTCACGGCGCACACACAGATTCTAACAGACACCGTGTCTCAGGCTCAAGGACCCCTCGACCAAGTACAAGCCGTTCCCTCCTGTGAACCTCCCAGACAGGCAATGGCCCAACAAGACCATCGTCAAGGCCCCGCGTTGGCTGGCCACCGACCTTCGCGATGGTAACCAGAGTCTGGTTGACCCCATGGTACGCCGGCCGCCTCTCCTGCCTACTTGCGACCTGTCTCTTGTCATCACCAAGATCGGCTAACCCTCCCTCTTAGAACGGCGACCAGAAGTGGAGGTACTTCCAGATGCTCACCGAGCTGGGCTACAAGGAGATTGAGGTTTCCTTCCCTTCGGCCTCGCAAACCGACTACGACTTTACCAGACGCCTCATCGAGACTCCCGGTGCCGTTCCCGACGATGTTTGGCTGCAAGTTCTGTCGCCTTGCAGAGAAGATCTCATCCGCCGCACAGTACAGTCCCTCAAGGGCGCCAAGAAGGCCATCATCCACATCTACTTGGCTACCAGCGAATGCTTCAGGCGAATTGTTTTCGGGTTTACAGAGGATGAGAGCGTCGAGTTGGCCAGCAAGTGCGCCGCCTTGGTCAAGTCCCTGACCAAGGACGACCCTGAGATGGCTGGCACAGAGTGGGCGTTTGAGTTCAGCCCCGAGACTTTCTCCGATACCAGCCCCGAGTTCGCAGTGCGCATTTGCGAAGCGGTAAAGGCCGCCTGGGAACCCACGGTGGAGAACCCCATCATCTTCAACCTCCCCGCAACAGTGGAGATGGCCACTCCCAACATCTATGCCGACCAGGTGGAGTTCTTCTGCCGCAACATTACCGAGCGCGAGAAGGTGTGCATCTCGCTCCACCCCCACAACGACCGCGGATGTGCGGTTGCCGCTGCCGAGCTGGCCCAGATGGCCGGAGCCGACAGAGTGGAAGGATGTCTGTTTGGAAACGGAGAGCGCACCGGCAATGTCGACTTGGTTACCCTGGCCCTCAACCTCTATACCCAGGGTGTCTCGCCCAACATTGACTTCTCCGATCTTGGCAAGGTGATCAAGACTGTGGAGGAGTGCAACAAGATTGAGGTGCACCCGCGTGCGCCTTACGGCGGTTCTCTCGTCGTGTGCGCTTTCAGTGGCTCTCACCAGGACGCCATCAAGAAGGGCTTCTCCCTGCGCGAAAAGGAGGGCAAGGAGTATACCGATTACTGGCAGGTGCCTTACCTTCCCTTGGATCCCAAGGATATTGGACGTGATTACCAAGCTGTTATCCGCGTCAACTCTCAGAGTGGTAAGGGCGGCACTGCCTGGATCATCCAGCAGCATCTCCACCTTGACATGCCCCGTGGCCTGCAGGTTGCCTTCAGCAAGGTCGTTCAGAAGATTGCCGACGAGAAGGGCCGTGAGCTCCTCCCCACCGAGATCACCGATTTGTTCAAGAAGACGTACTACCTCGATGAGAACCCGCGCTTCAACATTGTTGACTACTCGATCAACCCCGACCGATCCAGCTCGCCGGCGCCGCCCGCTCCGGGCAAGACCCAGGACACCAAGAACCTTGGACGTGTGTTCGAGGGTGTTATTTCCATTGAGGGCCACGAGTACAGCCTCAGAGGCCGCGGCAACGGACCTATTTCCTCCTTGGCCAATGCCCTCAAGAGGGTTGGCGTGGATTTGGATGTTCAGGACTACAAGGAGCACGCCGTCGGCCGTGGTCGTGATGTCAAGGCTGCTACCTACATAGAGTGTACGGCGGCCGGACAAACCGAAAAGGTCTGGGGTGTCGGCATTCACGCCGATGTGGTACAGAGCTCTCTAATTGCTCTTCTCAGCGCGGCTAGCAACGTAAGTTCATTCATAATCCACTTCTTGATGTTTAGTCTCGAGCACAATTACTAACTCCTCTTTTGGTTCAGTTCGTTGGAAGCCGCGTCGGTAGCCCGATCATTCCCAAGCCGGTCGAAAAGGACGTCAACGGTGACGTGAACCTCAGCGTCCCCAACGGCAAGAGCATCATTCAGGCGCTCGAGTCCCAGGCCGACGAGATGTGAGTTAGTTGGCTTCACAATGTAATGAAATGTAATGAATCATTTGCATCAGGGTTGGTAAACAGTGGTTCTGGATGGGCTGGGAAAAAGTCACTCTTTCTTGGCGGTAACCAAGACCTCCAACAGGGGGGTTTTGATTGTTTACTGCTACCATCGACATTTGAAAAAGGGGGTTGTTTTTCGCATTTGTTTACAGATACCTAGGTTGCAACGCGTTGATTTTCTTTGGGACGATCTCACGGGTTCACCTTTAATAAGCCTAAGAAAGGGGCTATGGGGTTATTTACATGCCCAAAAGAAAACATTTGGTTACCGTAACCGGGACTACACAAGGGATGTTAGATCAACAGATTGCGTCCATACATTCACCCTGGATGCCAGGACAACGGCTACTACAGTAATTGAAAGTGCAGCACGACATACCTACCTCGTTGACGACCTGACATGTCAGGGTCCCAAGAATGAAAGATATCAAATCACATGCTTTGTGCATTGTCTGTTATGTACTCACTGCATCAGGCATTCTTTGCCTTGCTGCAGCGGCCATTCTCAAATTTTCCGACCATGTTCCCTCTTCTCACTTCAGGTTGTTGCACGGCCTTTCAGGTGAAACACTGGGGAAGTAGGAGGTCTGGTACTGAGTAAGGATGGCCCATTGACAAGAAATGCATCCAGAACAACTGACAGAAGGGAGAGAAAATGGACTGCTCATGGGTTGCTTGTCATTGTCTGCTTCGGACTTTACCATAGAATGGTATTAAATACGTTATATCTCGATGTACGTAATGAAAGGCTCTGGTGTAATGAGATGGCTGCTGGGCACCCCTTACAAGTGCAGGCATCGCTCTTGGCAGGACGACGCAGTCACGACACGTCCTGGACTTACACCAGACAACACAGAATTCAGAGTTGAACTCTCCTTTTTGGCATCCCTTTTTGAACTGACTCTATAGTACACTTCACATGATGAAGAGGAACCACGTTAACTAAAGCTGTCAACCGTTATCGACTAGTAAGGGAACGGGCGTTCTTTGTCTACAGCAACACGTTCACCGTTCACGACATCCACAAAGTCTCTTTGTTGATGGTTGTCCATGAGAAGAGGGATAGGGGACTTGTGGAATTCAGGGACTCCCTTCAAGGTTCTCAGGGAAGGGGGGGCTCAACTGCCAGCCCCAGACACCCAATGGAAGCCCCTCCGCAAGCGTGGCAGGCAAGCACTCAGGCAGACAGGACCCAGGCGCTAGGGAAGCAAAAAGAAAGACCAATCTGGGCGGGGAGGGGGTGTGCGTCATAGGTTTTTTGAAAGAGACTTGGACTGCCAGTGAGTGTCATTTACTGACACTGTAAGCTTCTGGTGTCAACACCACCATGAATACAGTGCATGATACTTGGAAGCGGATAGAAACGTCACTCGTCTTACCCCCTCCCCACCTTCCGCCGACCCCTTCAGCCCTCCACTTGCACCTGGACCCCCGTTGAACGTCCAGCAGCCCTGCGGTTGCCGGGCAGTGCTAGGTAGCCCGCCGGCGGTAGTGAACCACTGAGTCTTGGGCGCCCTGAGAGCCTGGCCGCCACATGTGCATCTTTGCCCTGTTGACTGTTTAGAGTTCACATGGAAGAACAGTTGTCCTTTCTTTTAACTCTTGTTCCCATCTGAAGTCATCTTCCTGAAGCGTTTGTAAAGCTCTAGCATTTCATTATCTCGTCTTTCACAAATCTGTTTTCTGCGGTGAGACGTCTTATTCGTCCTTGAGGTTCTCTTTCCCGAGAAACACGGAGCGAGCCGTTTGGTGCAGACGGGTGTTCGCCCTTGAGGGCCCGGTCAGCAGAAGTTAGCGAAGAACTGCACCTAGTCTGCAGGCAACGCCGGTAACACCAAACAAAGCACTACCGGGACACGCTACAGGTACACGTTCCTGTCCCTCCCCTAACAACTGCCCGAGTGGCGGCCCCAGCCGTGCAGTGAAGGGAAGCAGACATCGAAAAGCACAACCCACCAGCACCTCCTGCGATTGTTGACAAAATTTTCCAGCAAAACTAAAGACCCGCAGTTTGGCGTCAGCACTGCACTGTGTCCCGTCTAGATCCTCCTCTCTCCTTCCATTTGCAGGTGAAGGCTCGGAACAGCAACAAACCCCTCGCATCCATCCATCCATCCATCCCTCTCTGTTCATCGCAATCGCATCCAGACGGACCGCATCGATAAACATCCATTCACCAACCGCCATCACCTGGCATCAGATCCCGCCCACGGCTTCTGCATCTGCGCCTCGCCTCCGCGGTTCGATCTGATATCACCGAAGAGCAAATCGAGTCTTGCCCCGATTAAGATTCAAGGTTGCCGTGGACCTTGGACTCCCGCTCCCCGCTTGTTCCACGCAGCAAAACTTTAGTTGCATCAAGCCCAGGCCGACTTTCTCTCCCTGTCGGAAACCCCTCCCAATACCACCACCGCCAACCCGCTTCGTTTGCTGGAGAGACCCGTTCTTCCTCCGAACAAGGCATCCAAACCGCAACCATGGAGGGCTCTTCAGATATCAACACCGTCCTCACCAACTCGCTGAGTCCCGGTCAGTATATACGAAATTCTCAATCCATGCCCCGACCCTCCTGCCTTTCGGCAGCCGCCGTTCTCGCCATGATTCGCGTCAGCCCGTCCAAACGGTGACGCACATGCTGACTCCTTGTCTTTCCAGACGCGACCCTGCGACATGCTGCCGAACAGCAACTCAGCCAAGCCGCTGAGACAAACTTCGTATGGCTTCCCCCTCCTCTTCGTTGCTCCTGTGTCGCGTTCCCGTGGTAGGGTCCTCATAATGCTAACTCGTCCGTTTCTCAGTCTCAATACCTTGTGACACTCGTTCAAGAGTTGGCAAATGAAAGTGCCCAGAGCCACATCCGAGCGGCGGCCGGTATCGCCCTCAAGAACGCCTTCAGTGCTCGCGAGTTCGCTAGGCAAGCGGCGCTCCAAGCAAAATGGCTTCAGCAGACCGACCAAGACACAAAGACACGGGTGAAGCAGCTCACCCTCGAGACCCTCGCCTCCAGCAGTACCCAGGCAAGCCAGGCCTCAGCGCAGGTCATCGCCGCCATCGCTACCATCGAGCTACCACGAAACGAGTGGCCCGACCTCATGCACGCCTTGGTCAAGAATGTTAGCGAAGGAAGCGAACACCAGAAGCAGGCCTCTTTGACCACCATCGGCTTCATCTGCGAGAGCCAGGATGTCGATCTGCGAAACAGCCTGGTCCAGCACTCGAACGCCATACTCACAGCTGTTGTGCAGGGTGCTCGCAAGGAGGAGCCCAACCGCGAAGTCCGTCTTGCCGCGATTACCGCCCTCGGCGACTCTCTCGAGTTTGTCGGCAACAACTTCAAGCATGAGGGCGAGCGCAACTACATCATGCAAGTTATCTGTGAGGCGACACAGGCCGAGGACTCTCGGATACAGCAGGGTGCCTATGGCTGCCTCAACCGCATCATGGCCCTCTACTACGAGAACATGCGCTTCTATATGGAGAAGGCCTTGTTCGGTCTCACTATTCTGGGCATGAAGAGCGACGACGAGGATGTGGCCAAGCTCGCTGTTGAGTTCTGGAGTACCGTTTGCGAGGAGGAGATTGCCATCGAGGATGACAATGCTCAGGTACGTTTCTACCACAATCTGGTTGAGCAAGAAGCCCCCACTAACGACGGCTGCAGGTCGAGAGCTCCGAGCAGATGCGCCCCTTCTACAACTTCGCCCGCGTTGCTACCCTCGAAGTAGTCCCTGTACTCCTCCAGCTTCTCACCAAGCAAGACGAGGATGCGGCCGACGATGAGTACAACATTTCGCGTGCCGCCTACCAGTGTCTCCAGCTTTATTCTCAGGCGGTCGGTGCGGCCATCATTCAGCCAGTCATCCAGTTCGTTGAGGCCAACCTTCGTGCCGACGACTGGCATCTACGTGATGCCGCCGTTTCCGCTTTCGGTGCGATGATGGACGGCCCCGAGGAGAAGCTGCTCGAGCCTATCGTCAAGTCTGGAATGCAGCCCCTTATTAGCATGATGGAGGATCCCTCGCTTCACGTTCGGGACTCGACCGCCTACGCCCTTGGCAGAATCACCGAAACCTGCTCCGAGGTTATCGATCCCGCTGTTCACCTTGATCCCTTGATCACCTCTTTGTTCAACGGGCTTATGAGCAGCCCCAGAATGGCCGCGTCCTGCTGCTGGGCCCTGATGAACCTCGCCGAGCGTTTCGGTGGCGAGTACGGTGCCGCGCAAAACCCCGTCACCCTCACTTTAACCAGTGCGTGACCAACTTGCTTGCTGTGACGGCCAAGCTTGACGGTGACGCTGCTGTGCGCACTGCCGCTTATGAGGTTCTCAATGTGTTCGTGCAGAATGCTGCTAACGACAGTCTCCCTGCTGTTGCGTCCCTCTCGGATGTTGTCCTCCAACGTTTGGAGGAGACCATCCCCATGCAATCCCAGGTTGTCAGCGTCGAAGACAAGATCACTCTCGAGGACATGCAGACCAGTCTCTGCACTGTGCTCCAGGCCATCATCCAGCGCTTGGACAAGGAGATTACTCCTCAAGGCGACCGCATCATGCAGGTTCTGCTTCAGCTCTTGAACACTATCAATGGCAAGAGCGGCGTTCCCGAAGGTGTTTTCGCGGCGATCAGCGGCCTTGCGAACGCCATGGAGGAGGACTTTGCCAAGTACATGGACGCTTTTGCTCCCTTCCTCTACAATGCCTTGGCAAACCAGGAGGAGCCGAGTCTCTGCTCCATGGCTATCGGCCTGGTCAGCGATATTACTCGATCCATGGGCGAGCGTAGCCAGCCGTACTGCGATCAGTTCATGAACTATCTCCTCAACAACCTCAGAAGTACTGCCCTTGCCAACCAGTTCAAGCCTGCAATCCTGCAGTGCTTCGGCGACATTGCTGGCGCCATTGGCGGCCACTTTGAGGCCTATCTCTCGGTTGTCGCCGTCGTTCTTCAGCAAGCTGCTACTGTCACTGCTTCTGCTGAGGGTTCGTACGAGATGTTCGACTACGTGATTTCGCTTCGCGAGGGTATTATGGATGCTTGGGGTGGCATTATTGGTGCCATGAAGGGCAGCGACAAGAGTAAGTTCATCTAGTATTACCGTATTTTCTGCAAAAGCTAACAGGTGTCGTACAGCCAACGTCCTCGAACCCTACGTCCAGTCGATCTTCGAGCTTCTCAACACTATTGCTCAGGATCCCAACCGCAGCGAAGCCCTCATGCGGGCTGCCATGGGCGTCATTGGGTAAGTCAACATTGAACTCTGGAATGGCACAGTAGGACAAAACACTAATGATTCTCTAGTGATCTTGCCGATGCTTATCCCAACGGCCAGCTGGCCGAGGTCTTCCGCCAGGACTGGATTACAGCCATGATTAAGGAAACTCGGTCGAACCGCGAGTTCCAGCAGCGTACCATCGAAACTGCCCGGTGGGCGCGCGAGCAGGTCAAGCGCCAGATTAGCGGTACCCAAGGCATGATCCAGACATGAGGTTGAATCATGCCTGAGGACAGTCACAAAGGTGCTCTCTCAGCTCGCCGGCCCTTAGGGCCACTGGCGTCACTTCAAGCACTTCACTCCCGTAGTCGCTTTGGAAGATGCATTTCCCCATCACTACCCCCAAGCCCCTTAGCAGCAATTCCTTGACGAACGCGACACGATCCCACGACACTACACCCAATTCCCCCCAGTAACGCGATGCACAAATGATGTGATACAAGCCCCTTGATGGTTTTGCACTAATTTATACATCATGCTCGTTTAAATGACACTTCACACAGCACCAACACACCTTTATATCCCCCGTCCCCCCCTGCGCGCGGCTGCTAGCACTGGTTTGTTATTTGGTAACACGAGTCATGGGCGTTATTCGGGTCAGCGATAGAGAAGGAGGAAGAGAGAACGAAATATCATGTACTGCGCGTCACCCTGTAGCACACGTTTCCCTTTGATACCCAAGGCAAAAGGAAGAAGGAAGTGCAGCATAGGGCGATCCGACGCAGAAAGCACAATCATGTAGAGACACACGAAGAAAGAAACAATTCCCCCAAACTGACATCCCTGGTTATGCATCCTCCCATCCCAACTTTTACTGTACTTCACTCACACTTGGCCCACACCATTTGTCCGAATCGTCTTGAACAATATGTAACTCGAAGAGGAGAAGGAAGGGTTAGGTTTGAGGCAGAAGTGGACCACTGGGCCTTTTCAGGGTATCATAAACGCATCCCCTCAAGCCTGTAAGCGGGTTCGTTATGGCAACAACGCCGCCCTTCCATTGCTCAGTAGAGCTTACGTGATCTGATAGCCGAAGTATTGCTATCGAGTATAAGCAATGTAAAACAAATACTTTACAACGTCCAAATGTGAACAATCTTTTCTCCTCGAGGTTGGTCAGTGATGTGATGTGATTTTGTCCGGTACACTTTATGAGGTGAACCATACGGCACGCGACCTATCACGTGTAGCGCCTTTATCGCAGAAGTGCTACTTATACACGCACTGCATTTCAGACAACCTTCCATCCGGTACTGAAATGTTCCACCTCATTTACCATAGTGATTCACAAAGCCTAAACACAATTTTCATTACGATCACTTGAGCGAGTCAGTGAAGCTGCTCTGTCGGTCAGTCACAAAGTTGTGTTCTGGATTCGAAGTCAACTTTCGTCCGTCCTCCAACTAAGTGTGGATCCGGCCTGCTATCCGGCGACTGCCGACCGAAAGTTTTGCCCCGAGGGTCCAAATCCAGGCGGGCGGCATTCGATTTGCACGCCATCTGCGCCTGCCCAGTGCAGCACACCTCCAGGCAATTGGCGGTAGAGATTGGGCCATATCTTGCCCTGCCGGCAATCAAATCATCCGCCCCGCAACCAACAAGAAGCCGCTCCGGCAAATCTACAGCTTGAACAGCTACCTTTTCTGGTCTATCATCTGCAACTAAACATCGCTGTCGTGCCGCACCGGCGTCCCATTATCGCTTTTCCTCGATCCTTTTGCCCTAGGCAGCCTCATCGTCCTCCCAAGGGTCCCAAACCGACGCCCGCGTCGTTGCCGGCGAGATGGACCAGGAGATGAAGCAGGCCGAGCCAGAGCCGTCGCCAGCTCCAATGGCGATGGCTTCGATGCCGGCCGCGTCGCCTCAACCACAACAAGAGCAACCCGACGTCGAGATGAACCAGGACCAGGAACACGACTCCCCTCAGACTCCGATGCAACTCAACCTGTCAAGCCCCGTGCCGAATTCAGCCAACAATAGTCAACAGCAACAACAACAACAACACCAGCAACACCAGCAACAGCATCCACAGCAACTACAACCCCAGGTCAATCAGATCAACGGCCAACAGCTTTCTGGCCAGATTCCTGGTCAATTTCCTCTTCCCAGTCAATCTCCTAGCCAGGTCAACAGTCCAGTCTCTGTCGGGACTCCTGGACAAGTTCCTGGCTTAGCCCTCCCAACACCTGCCATCAAGCGGAGAGCTCCAATCGCTTGCCGAAGGTACGTGAACAGTTGCCGGATCGGCTTGTCAAAAGCCAAATGCCGCGGTTACACAAGTGGACGCGAAGGACTAACGTATCGCTCTCTACAGATGCCGCCGTATGAGAAGCAAATGTCTCCATGACAAGGCCCAGCCTCCATGCCAAGCTTGTCGCGATGCTGGACTTGGTCCGGCTGACTGGTAAGAGTTCCCACAATACGTACACTATATGTCTCAATGGTGTCTTTCTCCTCGATTGCTAAAACCAGACCTTTTCCCCAGCACGTTCCCCGTCCGTGGCCAGCCCGATCAAGACCGCGAATACCGACACCCTCGAGTTAGAGCCGACAAGTCGACCAAGCGAGACCCGGCGAAGGTCCGGCGCGAAATCCTCGATGCCCCCGTACGATCACCAGTACCCCAGCCGCCGAGACCGATCAAGGGCTACGACGAATGGGATCTTCTGCCCCCGCTGCCTGAAATTCTTGAGGCCGTTCACAAGTTCACGGCCCATTACTTCCAGTTGGGCTTCATCCATAAGCAACACTTTCCCGAACGGCTACGGACGAACCACCGATCTGTCAGCGTGTTTTTCTTGCTCAGTATCTTGAGCATTTCGGCCCGGTTGACGCCAACGCTGGTAGATCGTTTCGGTGGTGCTGTTAAGGCTGCTGAAGTGTTCATGGAGCGCGCCTCCGAGGTTGCTTGCCGCGAACTGTATAGAGACCCGGACCTGGAGAGATGTCAGGCGTTTTACCTGTTGAGTATTGCCCAGCAGGGAAGTAGCTTGAAGCAACAGAGCTCGATCAATATGGCAATTGCTATGCGTATGGCCACGTTGATGGGGCTGCACAGGGAGGAGACTTACAGACTGCCGGAGAACCCTTCGGAGGAACTGATTATGAGGGCAGAGTCCGCGCGCCGCACCTTGGTAAGTGGCACATAAACACATCAGATGAAATGATGAGATCGGGAATGGTTTCTGTTACTAACTGAATGACAGTGGATGCTCCATAGCCAGGATAACCTCCATTCGGGACCGCGGTGCCCTGTCTCCCCTATCAGCTAGTGATATAACAGCATTGCTGCCTTGCAACGAGAAGGACTTCGCCACTGGTCAAATACCCAAGTCGAGAGCAGCGCTCCAGGATACTCCTCCGGCCCTGGAGAACCCCCATCTTGTCACCGACGAGGGTCGGTCCCTGTTTGCTACACTCATCCAGGCCCATTACTTCTGGGGAGCGATCTCCCGCCGGGTGCTCAGTAATGACAAAGTCACGGATCCATGGGAGCCGGCTAGCGAGTATGCAAACATAGTCAACCGCCTTGAGGAATGGGAGAATGGTCTGCCTGGCGACCATAAGTGGAGCCCCTTTTTACTCAAGGGGTATAAGCAAGAGGGCCAAGACTTAGTAGGTTACAAGAACAATATCGAAACAAGTGCATTCTTAGTGCTAACCTCTCCTGTAGGCATACCTCGGCGTGACCATGATAACTCGCCTCTGCAACATTGTTCTTCGGAAGGCATACCTGACCGAGTAGGTTACTCCAGAGAAGCACTCAAAAGCTTGAGCTGACAGCGTCGTAGTATCTTGTCGGACGATAAGTCCCAACCGGAGCGCACAGCTTTCTGGACTGAAATGTCTCGTCAGCTGTTTAGGAACGTCAAGAATCTGTACGAACAAATCGACACTCAATACAATGAGCGGTCACCCGAGGAAGGTCCTGGGGCACAGATGGCAGTAAGTACTGATGGGATTTGAAATAACAAATGAATGCCGACTGACCTTCTCTTCAGGCGTTCTGCGTTTACAGCTGTGGCTTCCTCGCATGCTACTTGTGCAAATACCCAAATCGTAAGCCATCTACCACGAAGCGATTTCTTTCTGGAACTGAGTTAACGCGGTATCAATACCAGTCTGCCCTGAGCCAGCCATTACTCGCGAAGGACCTTTGATGGTGACTCGTGTACTCAGCATATTGGCAGAAAGCAGGAACATATGGCCGTTGGCGACTAGGTGGTATGAGCATCTGGAACGTTTTTACACAGCCCAAAGCGGCGTCATAGTTGGTAACGAGGGTACCATGGCGGACAGCGTAAGTTATCATTATTCCCCTCAAAAGGCCTCTCGTTCACGGAACCAACAGGCTGATTTTACCTTCCTGCTCGCCCAGAGAGATGAGATTCCTCACGTCCTTCAGATGCCGACCGTTCAGCAACAGCAAGCCCAGGCTCAAGCTCATATGGCTCTGGCTCAAGCTCAAGCTCAAGCTCAAGCACAAGCCCAAGCCCAAGCTCAGGCTCAGGCCCAGGCACAGGCTCAAGCACAGGCGCAAGAGGCACAACAGATACAACAGGCACAGGTCCAGGCACAGCAGCCAGCACAGCAACACCCAGCCTTTACTGCTCAGATGCAGGCGCAACAGGCCCAGCAGGTACAACAAGCTCTAAGTGAAAAGCAGGAGCCTGTTTCTCAGGGTAGTCCTGAACAGGCGATCATCAGCCCGGCACAGCCCAGTGTCCCAACTCCCGCGATGTTCATCGACCCAAGTCTCCGTGTGCCAACATCGTCACAACCGCAGGAGCAGACTCCTGCACCAACTGTTCCCCAGCAGCAAGATTTGGCATCTTCTTCACAACAGGGGCAGCAGCCGCAACCTGTCGTCGGTGTAGCTGGTCGGCAGTCAACTGATGGGTTGGGCCTGCTCATTGAAGCGTTTGACACTCAACAAGCCGGTGGCGTCCCTCCAACGACCACGGCTGGTCAGGGGCAAGTGCCTTATGACCCTCAGGCACCTCCGCAGCAGTACTACCCGCAGCCCGGAACTCTGGGCGTCAACGACGGATATGAGAACGAGTTGGGCTACTATATGTCGGATCAGGGACAACCCGGTGCTATGCAGAGCTGGGTTGGCGGAACGAATATGTATGGATACTAGGAGCAACCTACGCATAAGGATGTGTATGGGTATTTGGAGCAACTCAGACAACCTGATATGGCGGAAGTGGAGTTTAAGAAGAGGGGGTCTGGGAGTTAAAAGAGTGAGGAGTTGATATAGGTTCGATGTCTAGGCTAGGTAGGGCGTCATCCGGTTGCCGATTGGGGTATGGATTAAGGCGTACCTTGTAAAAAGGAGTTGGGCTATGGATGGACTGGATCTGAATAAACAAGCGAAAACGTAGGATATCGGTGTTCAACTTTACTACTTCGCTGGGAAAGAGGGTTGGGGCTTTGGCCCATGGGCTTTATATAGCTTTATTGAAGTCGGACGACCATGAATCGTACTAGCGAATGTGTGGCCTGCGCTTTTGGACTAGTACTTGCTTTCTTCCCATAGTACTTGGAAATCGATAGACCAGCGATTCTACATGAAGATTATGAAATTTCACAGTTCAAAATGCATACTTCTAGTCGAATTGGTCTACGTTGATAGAGTTCAGGCTATCTTCACGTTGGTGTGAACCGATCAAAGATTGTCGAGCCTCAACATGCACAGTTCGCCAAGACTTACCCTAACACAGTGCACTCCGTCATCCCGCCCGGAAATTCCCTTTCAACAGAGCTCCTCAGGGTTAACTACGGCAATTCGATAAGCAGCTTCCAGAGGGTTGAGCTAGCAAATCACAAGTCCAGTCTTAGCACCTGCTTGTACGGAATTCACGACGACGACCGAGCCGGCATCCGCAGCGCAAGCCAGCCAGACAAATCGCAAAACCCACCCTATCTAATCCTCCCTCCGGTGACATCAGGGTAGAATAGCAGAGCAGCTCCCGGTCTCGAAACTCCTACACCACCTCACCTCTCTACCTATTCTTCATCAACCAAAACCCCGCGACGACCAAAATTCACAATGGGTTCCAGCGCCTCGAAGCCCTCTGCTGCGGCGCCGCATGTGTGGAAGGGGTATGTCTATGTCATTCTTCTTGTTCTTGTTTCTGACTGGGGATCGATTGATGAATTGGATTGGGAAGGAATACGAAGCTCAAGGTTGATCAGAGAGAAGAACATGGGAATTGGAAAGCTGACATGTTAAACTTCAATAAACTAGGACCGCCCCGGCTGGTGTGTCGCAGGATCTTGTCGAGCAGTTGCAGTCTAGCCCCGAGGTATGATACTGTCTCCGTCCTCTCAGCTGAGCTGTCGAGCTGTCCCATCCTGTCCTGTCCTGTCTATCTGCGATGCGAACAGATTACTCCTTCTCAACCCTACACTACTTCGTCTTTCTTCCGTCCCTCCCCTCTCCCCTCCGTTCGCATACATACCAAATTCGCATACCGTTCTATACCTACCTACCAGCCAGCCAATGCAATGCTCCAATGACTCCGAAGAAAACATAAACTAACACGTATACCCAACGAAATCAGACCGACGTCTCCCGCCAACAGACCCTCGAGCTCCAAGTCCAAGCCCGCGTCGCCGAAGAACTGAAGCGTCTCCGCGCCGCCGAAGCCGCCAAGCTGCAGGACACCCTCACATCCTCGTCCCAGTCTACCGAGCAGCAGCAGCAGGAGCAACAACAAGAGAACGACGCCGTCAGCAGACAAAAGGTCAACAAGGAAGTCGAGGCCTTGCGCGCCAAGCTCGAGGAGCGCCGCAAGGTGCGCGAGCTGCCCGAGAGCATGGAGACGGCGCGCAGCGAGGTGGTGCGGTGCCTGCGCGAGAACGACCGCCGGCCGCTGGACTGCTGGAAGGAGGTTGAGGCTTTTAAGGAGGAGGTGCGCAGGCTGGAGAGGGGGTGGGTTGATAAGGTTGTTGCTTAAGTTTGAGTTCTTAACTTGACTTGAGCCATTCTTTCCCCGACCTGGTACCAACCAACCCAACACGCCGGCCGCTACGATACGACAGACGGACGGACCGATAGTTGGGTTTGATATACCTAAATGGCTTATGGAGAAGCTGGTGAACGGCTAAGTTGGAAGGAAGGAAACGCAACACCTTGTTGGGACGCTCATCTTTACGACAACACCTTAGTAAATGATGGGAAAGGGGCAGAACGGACGAAAGGGGACGACGATGCCAGATAGGTCTTCTTCTCCCATGGAGGTTTCGAGTCTGGGCAGGCAGATGGGGAAATGGCAAAGCTGCTAATTGAGATCCCGCGTCTGCAGTCAATCAAAAAGGGTACGCAGAACTAGCAGTTAGTTGGTTGGGGTTCGTTTGGTTGGCTGCGTGAAAAGTGCGGCCGGTCAAATGTGTGTATATGTGAGCGTGTATCATAGATGGCATAAACGTCCAAGAAGCCGAAGGCTTACCATGAGGCTTGGTGCCTGGAGCTTGGGAGCTTGGAGCTTGGGAGCTTGGAGCAGTATATAAATAAAGGGCTAGGCTTTTCCGTTCAGTCGAATCGTTCAGGCCAGGGCATGGGACAAGTGGTATAGAGAAAGGCAGAGAGAAAGAATGGGATGGACTAGGGCGGAGAGTGGCATTGGTTTTGACTCCCCTAAAAGGCACCGTAGTAGAGAGAGAGAGCAAGCGACATCAACTAGGAGCCTGCCCAAAGCCGTTTACGTGATACGTACGTATTCTTTTGGTCCAAGGCCGCCCAAGATCACTACAAAACATCCGGCACCTGCAACACCACCTCTGCCAAATCCACCTTACCCTCTTTTTCCTCCTCGTTCTGCTTTCCCTAGCCCCCTTAGCCTCCTCAGCCTCCCTCCTCTTCCTCTCCCTCTCCTCCTCCTTTCTCCTCCTAACCCCCTCCCGTCTCGCCAACCCTTCCTCCCTCTTCCTCTGCTTCCTAGCCTCAGCATCCTCCCACTCTCCTCCACCATCACCCGCCTGCTTCTTCTTCTTTTCCTCGGCACCACCACCACCAGCACCCGAATCCTCGTCAAAAGCCAGCCTCAAAGCCTCCCTAAACCTAGCAATCCTCTTCTTATTCTCCCCAAACCTCTCGTTGGCAATCTTGACCAGCAGGGACAGATACTCCGGAGTCACCAGCGACTGTCGTTGAGAACTGTTGTTACTGGAGGAGGGTTGGACGCCGATTAGGGACTCGAAGGAGAGGCCCATGGAGCGGATGGCTACTATGGGGTTTGGCGTGACGGATTCTGTTGATGTTGATGTTGGTGGTGTTGATGCTGATGGTTGTTGTTGTTGGCGGTGCTGGTGGTGAGTATGACACTGATGGCAGGAAGAGAAAAAGGGGGCGGTTAGACGGGGTAAGATGGAGACGGCGCCAGTTTCGCGGAAGCCCGAGGTCATGCCGGATTGGATTGCTAGGTGGGCGTGGGAGGGGGAGGTGGTTAGGATGTGGAGGATCTATTATAGGTTGGGACGGACGGGGATCTTGTTAGTTGAAGTTGTAAGAAAAGCAGGGGGAATGATTGAATGGTGAAAAACGTGCCATGGGTTCGAACTTGAAGTGAATCAATCGCTGCTGCTGCTCTTCCTGCTCTTCGCCATCCCCATCCCCAGTTCCAGTCCCAGACCCAGACCCTCGGCCAGTCAACCCAAAAACCTCCATCCAGTGATCCCCATCATACTCTCTCCCCGTGCTCGGATCAACAGTCTCCAACGGATCATGAGAAACAAACAACCACTCTCCTCCGCCTTTACCTCCTGACGAACTGGCCGTCGTCACTCCTCCGCCGCTTGGTTCCCTTGTTGTCCCATCCTCCCCATCCTCCCCTGCACCTTCCCCCTCGCCCTCACCACCACCACCACTAGCACCATTCAAAGTTTTCTTACTCTTCTTGACACCCTCCAAATAAACACTCACCCTCCCCGCGCAACTGCTCGTCGTCACCAGTCCTTCGTACCCATGATTGATCTCGTCAATCAGCTCGCGAATGGCCACGTCGACTGACCCCTTTGGAGATGCGTCCGTGTACTCGGCGTCTGGGACGGAGAGCTGGGAGAGGATTTTGGATTTGCGGGTGAGGAAGGAGGGGGTAGGCGGGGGGAGCATGGCGGGTCTTTTGGTTTTGGTTTTGGTTTTAATGTCTGTTTGTTTGTTTGCGGCGTGCGTTGCGTGTTGTGTTGATTGATTGATCAGGTTTGTGTTGGAGTTGGAATTGGGAATTGGGGGATTTGGAAAAAAGAGTGGGGTTGGTGAATTGTCTTGGGGTTTGTGTGCAAGAACTCAAATTGATTGTGAGCTGGTGGTCAGTCCAGCTGGCGCTAGAATTGTTGATTGACGACGGTTTTGGCTTATTGTTGAAAAAGATGAAGAAGGTTGATGTCAATGACGGGACGGGATATGAATCTCTCAGGCAATTCTTTTGTGAATTGTGGGGCCTTTGATACTATGTTATGCATCTCGGCCGAATGAACCCTTTTTTTAACAACGACGAGCCTCGCTCGGTCTTCATGTTTCCCAGGGGTACAGCGAGTTTCAACCGGGAAACATTTTAAGTATTCATCAAAACTGGCACCATAAGTTTTTTGGTTTATTTTTGAGTTTAATGCTTGTTTGTGTTTCTGTCCATGTAGCCCCGACTAACTAACCAAAGCCGTCAACAACAAGCTTGATAGCAGCAGAACATATTTCAGACCAAACTGGAGCGAGGCGGCATGAGGTTGATACATATAGTATTATAGAAGTTTCTAAAACCCACCAAAAGAAGTTCTGGGAAAAAGCTAACTCTCATCAGGGTATAAAAAAAGAACTTGTACAGTAATGAGGCCTGTCCGTCCGTCCAACTCCCTCGTTGCTGCTGCTCTCCTTCCTATGCGTTGCCGTCGAGGTAACGGCCGGCTACTAGGGCGCTCGCTGTTCCCCATTTTCTTCATCCTAACTTTGACTCTTCCTTTTCTGCTTCTTCCTCTATACAGGTTTATGATCGCTGTCATTTTTAATTACAAAAAAAAGCTCTTCTTCGGACTGAACTGGTGCTCAGGTCTTATAAAAAACGTAACGCCATGCCGTTAGGTATCTGACTGACAAACAAGAGAGAGATAGAGAAACAACATGAAAACATGAAAAATGATGATGCGTTGATGCGTACTAATGGATATATGTAGAGATTGGGTTGCAAGGTGTGCTATGCGTAGAGGTCAGACAAAAACGCCGAAAAATGGCAGTGATTAACACTATGCGGGAAGAAAACCATTAATATCATGCCCCGACTTCCTGCGCAGATCCATTATTCGAGTTTCGCAATGCCGTAGGCCCCATGAATCCCGCCTGAGGTAACTGCGACGAGACGTTTTGCATTTCCATGCCCTCTTTGGAGTCAGAAACCACAGGCTGTTGCCAGCGCCGATGTGACCCAAGTCGCTGATCACCCTGGTTATACTTGACCTTGAACCCGTAGTAAGTCGGCGGCCTTGGCCGGCAGAGCACGACAAACCAGTTCTTGAGCCAGTTTGCCTGGGTGAAAGCCCGGTATCGGTCGGGCTTGGGAAACTTGTGAGAGTTAAGGTATTCGCGAGTAGTCTCGCCGCGGGCCATCAAAAAGACATGGTATCCTGTAAGAGCAGCTGGGTACAAAAACGCCAGAAACCCATAAAAGACCATGGCAAATGGCACGCGGAAGTGATTGACCGCGTGGCCAAAGCTGGTATGGTGGCGGTTCTTGTACACCAGTATTTGTGCCAGGGAGGCGCCGATAAGGTACAAGGCAAGTACGGTTGCCGAGCTGACGAAGGTGAAAAAATAGCGGTAGTTGCGACGGCCAACGCAGTTGTTGAGCCATACACAGTGATGGTCTTGGGTCTCAACACAGTTGTCGCACAAGCGGCAATGATGAGCGCGTGGAGGACGCCACAGCTGGCACGTCTTGCAGTACTTGATCGGGACCTCCATTGCTGCCGTTGAAGCTTCTGCCGAGTGAACTAAAACCCAGTCGGTAGTTGGGGGCCCCGTCGGGCTATCGTCCATCTCAGGAGGGGGAAATTTGTGCAGATTTCTCGGTAGAATCTAGGGCATGTCAGCGCAATACTCACAAAAAAAGGTCAACAAGCCGTAGCATACCCCTGGATCTGTTGCTGACGCGTGTGCGAACGAAGATACACAGATATAAGCAAGGTAGGCAAACGTAATGGGTATCGCGGGCGAGATGTTGTGCCAAATCCAAGGCGCCGAGAAGATAAAAAAGAGGATGCAAGGAAGAACGATTAGAGACCCGGTCGCTATGTTTATCGGGCGTTGCCTTGTGTTCTGGAACCGTCCACCAAGGCAAAAAACAGTGTTGCCCTCGAAGTATTCGTAGTTTTTACCAAGACTCGGATCTTTTTGCCTCTTTGCACGTCTTTTGTGTCTGGCCCGTTGCCTCTCGTAATTTTGAGGTGGGATGTTGGGAGACGAGGCAGCGGATTGCAGCTTCTCCCCGCCCTCAATCTCTCTATTTGAACCCGTTATCCCGGACTCGTTCATCCTCGGCATCAAGAAGCTGGATCTGAAAGATCGTGATGTCCTCGTCGGCGACCTGGGTGGTGTTGTCGGAGTCCCCTCTCTGTAGTCTTTGTTCATTTCCACGTTGATGTTTCGGGTATCGACAGGTCTCTGCAACGGCTGCAACGGCCGGACGCTATCCGTAATGCTCGAGGTAGGGAAAAATCCGTTGGTGGGACTCGTGTTGGCTGTCATGCGGTCCATGGTTTCCTGCTCCGTCATTTCGGTCCCCCTGGAAGGCATACGCAGCTCTGCGTCCTCGGCAATCTGCGCCCCTATGCGACCACTTCCAGTTGAGATGACACTATTGCGAGCCCCCGCTTCTCCGGTAATCACATATGGGCGGTTCATTGTTGACGGCCGCCCAGCACCCCTTTGCGCCTGGAGTTTCTGCGAGCTCATCGGGCGAAAGAAGGCATGTGACGTTAGAGACGGGACATGACTCCTGCTCGCCGCACTGATGGGACGACCTCCTGCACTGCCGATGCTCCCAGCTATGCTTCCTCGCTTCCCCGACAAGTGTTGGCGTAGAGGTACCGATTGCGCCCACGGACCCCTTGACGATAACCCGGTCCCAGACGTCTCGGGACGTGATTGTGTGTCCGAATAGAAGCCACTCCTCCTATTGGGGTTGGCGCTCGCGGGGACTCCTCCTCGTGCTGTGGTATCTGATCCTTGGCCATCCTCCGTACCTATGTCTGTCATTCGCGAAGATATTACGCTGGGAGGGCCGGCAACGATAAGCTCGGCTCGGGGAGGGTATTGCGGGAACGTGTTGTCGACATTTGTCGGGGAGGCTGACCTCGAGGGTCCCTCTTCGAATGTCATCGTGTCGGCTAGGGAATCCCCCAAGACCCGTGGTCGATCGCGTATGAACCGTGTGTGTGTGATGTCTGGCTAATGTCGGGAGATCCGGCGCTATAACATGGCTATAAATCGATGACGAAAATGGATGGGTTTCCCGGCGGCGGGAAAGGAGGTTGACGACGAATGCGACAGGCTGCGGCGGGTGATAAACCGGGGCGCAGTGGTGTCGGCAGTGTCAAGTATACGTAAACGACGTCGCTTGGAGGTTTTGAGGTCCGGGCGCGCTACACGGGGTGTCGAGATATTGAGACCAAAAGGAGGGAGGTGTGTTTGACGCAATGACGCTCGGATCGATGGAAACGGTTTCGGTAGGGTACGGTATCTCGTTCGAATAGGTTGAGTTTGGGTTGTTGGCTGGTCACTGATGTGTCAGGATCAGGTCGGTTGCCGTTTTGCTTTCACGGTTGGCAGTGCCTATTTGCAGCAATGGGATTGCGGTGTGTGTGTGTGTGTGTGCTTGTCGGGTCGTTGGGTGAAGGAGTGTTGTCGTTATGGCGGCGAAAGTCAACTACCCTTGTATCGGACGGGCGAAAATAATGAGTGTATTCGGAATCCGACTTTGTTGGTTTCCAGCTGTGCTAAGGAGTGGACGGCTGAGCGAGATCTCAGCCTTTGCAATAGTGCGAAGAGAGAGTGGTGTTTGCCTTTGGCCTCGGGTCGAGTCAAAAAGTCGAAAAGTGTTGTGCAACGGAATGGGTTGCAGTTGGTTGCAAGGAGTGGTTGGCCAAGAGCCTCGCATTGTGCTTTCCCCCCGTTCGTTTCTCAGCGTTCCCGTCCCTTTTCTGGGTGACCTTTGGGCTGTCCTTTTTCGCTCCAACACAACGGGCCCGGAACCACTGCAAAGGCAATTCCAATGGAACCTTGGAAAACCCCCCCAGTCGATTTCAAATGCAAGGCCCGGCCTTTGCACCACTTTGTTCGAGATATTGGAAATGGGCCGTGTCATCCATGCAGCGCCGTCATTTCTTTTTGCCCATCAACCCCAGGTGAGAAGGCACGCCCGAGGCACCCTTTGGGTTAGTGATCGCGGTCAACCCCACTCCACGGGCACCTCTTCGACTGTTGAAGCGTTCAAGAGGTTCTGTGCCTGGCTCTTGTTGCTGCGAGATAGTGCCTTGCGTGTGCCATGGCTGGATAGCAACACTGTGGTCCATGCCCTCCCCTTGGAGTGCCAAGCTGCCCCTGAGCCAACCTAGCGCTCGTTATCAACCACCATCTAGTGTAAGATTCGGTTCTTATGCCTGGAGGCTCCTTTTCTTGTCATGGTGCTGTCTGGCTTCATTGTGAAATGTGAAGCTCACGGAGATGCCTAGCACCTACTTGTTGAAGTGCTAAACTTGGAGTACGAAGGACGGAATGCAGGTAATTCAAACTCGGATCACCACAAACAAAGTGGCTGCATATGTACGCACGCAGCATGTACTCCAGATTTCCGTCACACGTGGATAAACAGCTGGAGCTCAGCTGGCTGGCTGTTTGGTTCAACTACCTATGTAGTTCAGTGACAGTCTGACCTGAACTCGAGGTGCCGGGCCCACTGTTTCCGTCCGATTGAGCGCCGGGCAGCACCGCACTGACCGCAGCCATTCCGGTTTTCGTGACACAATGTGATACCAGCCGCGCGCATGCATGACCCTAACCCTGGCAATTTTACTCTTTTGCCGTGGACTTGACCAATAATGAAGCTTTGCCGTAGGTAGTCCTCATCAGCTCGGCAACCAGCTCCTTACGTAAGACACGCCAAGCCTTTTCTCAAGCCTCGAAATCATACCACTACCCGTAACCAACGCCGTCCAGGCCGTCAAGGGGTCCGTGCGCCAGGAAACCTCAAAGCTTGTGCTGCTGCTGCATCATCGAAAGCCGAAAGCTCTCAATTCCCCGAAACACCTTTCCGCACCTGACGCCATAGCTACCTCCCGTTCGCCGGAACCCCACCACCGACCTCGACAACAAATCCCCCCCGTCGTTGACCCGTTCGTCGAAACCCACGTCGTCCAGCCCGACTTAATAAACAATCACAATGGCCTCCTTCGTTGCCCGCCGTGCTTTCTCCACCACCGTCCGCCGCTTGGCGTCTGGTGAGGAGGCTCTCAAGACCGAGTCCAAGAAGAACCCCGAGATTCTGGTGCGTGAAATTTGAAAATAGGGGATCTCGGTCCTACCTCCCTCCTCAACACATCGACCTACCGAACAGCCGGAATTGGAGGCGCAAAGAGAGCTTTGGCCGAGTTGGATCCTTGCGCCGGGTTCTGGAGAATGGTCGGAGAGAGAAAATGCTTCGAAAATGCGCGCGCGGCGGGTTTGGTTGGTGTGTTGCGGCAGGAGCGGGATTTGATGATGCATTGGTTGCGAATTGCGAGAAGAGGAGAGGAAGAAAATAAGAATCAAGCTTCGGAAGCTAACGTGGGAATTGGTGTTGCTCCGAGTATAGGTCCTCGGTGGTGTCATGGTTGCCGCCTTCATTGGTGCCGGTTACTACTTCGGTATGTTGTTTTCTTATCTCCGCCCAAGCTACGGTATAGCTAGCTTTACCTATTGGAGAGCTATGTCCAAGCCTCCAAAATAAACAAGAGCTCTAACATCTTCCCTTTCCACGCCCAAAGGCCGCAACCCTACCGCCTCTACCGCCGAGACTGCCGTTCCCCAGACCAAGAACTCCATGCCCTGGGAGTCTGGCTCGGGCGCTGGCAAGTACCAGTACTACCCCGGCGGTGACCCCTCCGCTGCTCCCAAGGACGCCCCCAGCGCCGTCAACGTTGTCGTTGTCCCCAACGTCAACCTCCCCAAGGTACGAAGCACAACGACGATTCCGTCCAGCTCACCATATTCCCGATATCTCTTGCTCCGAATACCGAGGGATGGGCCTTATGATAACGGAGCAGAGAGAAAGGAAAGAGAGGATCAAAGTGACTGACAGCAAACTCTATGCAGAACCTCCACGACAAGTACAACAAGTGGGGCAAGGAGGGTTACTAAATTCCTCTTCCTTTGTTATCCGCATGATGATGGGAGAGAAATTGCGTAGTGGACTTGGCCCTGGAAAACGAGCCCATGTCATACCACGACATTTGTAGATACACCTAGATTCCAATGAACGGTTCTCTTGGGCGGTTTTGGTTAACCATGAAAGAGGAAGACTATAATCATACTACACCCGAATCCATGATGCCGTGAAAGTGTTTGTTCTTGCTTGTCAGCATCATCTTGAGACTTTGGGCGGAAGATAGGTACAATTGTGACAATGGATACCTAGTTGGGATGAAAGTGTAAAGTCACGTTGAGCCTGTCCCGAGATCTTCAGAGATTCCTCGAGCAAGATCACCACGTATGTCTCATTTGGTCTTTAGCGACCCATAACTTTCGCTTGATATTCCTACGGAAAAAAAAAAAGAAGTGATGTCGACAACTTGACGCCGGAAACACCTATGATCATCGCTTATCCATACAGTGTGTGCACATCCCAGCTAAAGAATAGTAGTCCCTTGACGAACGGTTCATCCTCCAAAAGTCATCCTTCAAAAGCCACCCAACCTGCCACCCAAGTCCCACGCACCGCAAAATATCAGAACCCGACACCCCCCAACAAACATACAAACTCAACGCCACGTAAATGCAAAGCTATCTCTCTCTCTGTGTTCTTTCGTTTCTCCTCCGACTGCTCAGTTGCAAAACCGACTTGCTTTTCGGTTTCAGCTACCGCTGGTTCCACGCCTCAGCTTCGCCAAGTAGACAGACAGACCTTCACTGTCCAGGCAGGAAGAGTTCGCCCAAGCTGTCGTTCGTACTAGTTTAGCACTGTAGCCAGCCAGTTGACCACATTCCGCTCCTCTTTATCCCCCTTCCCCTCATTTAGGTCTTGTTGGTTCAGATTCTCAACCGTTAGTTGTAGCTGGGCCCTCCTTCCTGGTTTTGCTGGGTATCGGCTTGAGGCTGCTGCTGCTGCTGCTGCTGCTGCTTTCGAGGTCGCCCTCTTCCCCTTTTCGGCTGTTGCTCGGTACCATCAGCTGGAGGCTGCTTCCGAGGCCGTCCCAACGGTCTTTTCGGCTTTTGCTCGGTATTAGTTTGAGCCTTCTCCTCCTTCTCCTCCTTCTCCTTCTTCTCCTTCTCCTTCTCCTTCTCCTTCTCCTTCTCCTTCTCCTTCTCCTTCTCCCTTCTCCTTCTCCTTCTCCTTCCCTTCTCCTTCTCCTTCTCCTTCTTCTTCTTCGGCTGTTGCTTGGGCACTGGTAAAGAAGGCTCAGGCGACGCGGATGAACCCTCCTAAGTATGTCGCGCCGCGGCGTCGGCAAACTGCTCGCGTTGGATACGCTCTAGTTCTTCGAGCGATAGACCGGACTGCTCGAACTTGTTTGCTTTCTTCTCTCGTCCCTATTACGGTTATGTGTGTGTTAGCTTCACGAAAGAAGAACAAAAAGACACAAACGAACAGGGAAGTAATAACCGTTCTAAGTACCTTTTGAACCTCCTTGTGCTCCGCAGCCGCCTCCAGCACGGCAGGGACGTAGTCGGCGAAACCGAGTCGCTCGAGCGCCTGCGTGATGTGATCACAGGCGATGGTCTTCTTCGACTCCTTCTCGGAGATCTCGTTCGCCTCGGACGAGACGAGCGAGATGAACTCGACGCAGAGATCGATGAGGAGATCCCTTGCTTCCTTGGCGAATGACAGGCCGGTCGACGATGGCAAGATCTCGCTCACAATTTTTTGGACCGTCGCTGTGTAGTAAGTTAGCTCATACTCTTGAAGGTTTACTTCACGGACCCTTTTTTGCGTGGTGAGCCTGGTCCATCCGATAATCCGTTTGCTTGAGGAATAGGCTCCCTCTTAGCCACAAGATACCGCCTTAACCAGCTCATCAAGCCGCAGGCCAGGGTCGAGGTCTTGCCACCCCCCACCACCATATCTCCCAAACTCGTTGCCGATAGTTGACGTACCCTTGGGAAGTGAGAGGTCATCGTTGCCTACGGTAAATGTGTTAGTAAAGAAACATCTCGATATAAATCATGAAAAGAAAATGTAAGTAAGCTACTCGGAGGTGGCTGAACCCCAGAGCCAGAGACAATCCACGGCTCCGAAGCGTATGCATAACGGTATCCGGAATATTTATCTTCGCCCATCTTGGCCAAGTGATCGCCATATTGCTGAGTGATGAAGAGGGTAAGGAAACCATCGTGTAAAACCTTGTTGTTTATATACAACAACCACAAAGTGTTGCGAGTAAATAAACTCGCCAGGCAGCAAAGCCCATCGTGACGTGCTTTTCCTTATTCACTCCAACTTCAACAATAGGTAGTGAAGAAGGAGTGGATGAAAGGGAGTGTTGGTGGTTTGGACTCATGAGTGAGGCTCACTCCACTCAACTTGAGTCTTAAGGCTGAGTGGCTTCATCATTGGGCGAGCTCGACCATGTGTAGGTGCAAGCAAATGGGCAATGTGTATTTCGGGGAAATCACCAAAAAGAAGAAAAACGGCAGAATGCACAGAGTGACAACGGACCTCCAAATTCGTGATCAGACATTTTGGCTGATGGATAATCAAGAGACTTGAGAGTCTCCTATGTGCGTCGTCGTGGGACGGGTGGGTGTTGATGCCTCGAAGGGTCGAACCTCGACGAGCTAGGTATAGTGGCTGAAAGATGCAAAATCCCCAACTGCCTGGGCGAGTGATATCTCTTCAAGATATGCGTCCGGTGTAATCAAAGTGTTTTGAAGTTCTTATGAGGTCGAGTTGCATGATGGTTAGGGGAGCCGAAGCTCCCTTTGAGCTCGGAGGTGCCCTGGTGAGGATGGTTGCCTTTATACACGACACATTGGCACCGCTCCCTTCACTTCAAACCACAAGTACGGCTGGCCTGGATGCCGCCAATGGCAACTGGGCGATTGGTCCTAGCTCATCGCACGCACCAGGGACAACCATGGGTATGTGGCGGAGTCGTACATGGGACGCACCAGCCACAGTTCTTCAATCAGTGACTGCACGCTCGCTCACAGTCCAAGGTTCAAATTCGTTGCAGTCGGGCTCGTAGCTCAGGCGACCCCCCCTCTAGACATTTACTCACATACAACCCTAATCTAAAGTTTAACTAAATCAGCTTGGAGAATATGAATACATTAATTTGTTTTGCATTATTGCATATTTTGATTAATCTTACATTAGTTTGTACTAAGTTTATACTTTACAACATACAAAAAACTAGTAACTAAGGGAAATACGACAGTATACAACCGGTAATCAATAAAATATTAAATAGTTTTTAACATGTTTGCTGCAATGCCCTAGCTGGCTTATAATAATAGCACCAGTATAGAGATGCTACAGTGACCTATGCACTTGTAGCAGAGCGGAGCGGAAGTGGTAGAAAGTACGGCAGCAGTCCTGAAGGAAGCAGCGTAGTAGCTAAGACAATAGAGGGATGTTGTAAAAGAGGTCTTAGAGAGAACTCTGCTCTCAACACAAAAGAGCATAGTGGACTCTATACTGTAAGAAACAAGAATTATAATAAACTCTGCACTATAGAAGTAAACTATATTGTATTGCTTGAATTGTGCTTGCTTGCTTATTTAAAAAGTGACTAACTAAAGGAGAAAAGAGGTCTTTATATACACAAACGTTAAGTATCTAAAACCTTCCAGAGTGTAGGAGCTTCTGTAAATTGATAAGAGTGCTTGTAGGAGCACTATACTATGAAAGGAATGAACTGAATCTATGAGCTTCTGGTACATTTCATGATGATAAATTAGTCTAGAAGGAATGCTAAACAAGTTTGGAGAATCCTAGAATACAGTGGCAAAACCTCTGTATTCTAGTACGTTCTGTGAAGGCTGAGTGGACTGATTCCATAGAAGAAATGGTTCAATCAGCCTTCTATACTACAAGGTAGTACAAAGCAGTTACAAAGCACAGTACTAGCCACACGTTAACATTCTTTATCTTTTATTACTTCTTTTTCACTTTACTTAAATCTTAATAAATAATTTTTTTAAATAAGAATACTATTATTCTACTTGGCTTATTTATTAATAGATAAACAACCTTTAAAATATATCCTACACAAGTTATAATAAGTTCAATTTTCATAAGATTTAAACCATTAATAAAGAAATGGTCGAAAAAGAGAAGAACAATAAAGAAGCTCTCTAAATATATGGTAAGCTTTTTTTAAATATCAAATACGCAATAGCGCAGTAATTCTCTGTGAATAAACAAATTAACTCTCTACCAGACTAAAATATAAAGCTTTATAATAGATACTTTTCAACGCTTAATTCCGGTAATAGAAAGTATATCTTTATTGTCAAAACATCATACATATATATAATATTTTGAATTTTTTAAAAGATATTATAAATACTGACGGCGGTACGGCGTATATATACTTTACGAAGGATTTTAATAAGAATAAGGTGTAGAAAATACAAGATTAAGTAGGTTTTTTAATAATTTTATTTTATAATTTAAAGATATATAGAGTCTTTATAAAAATCTTTAAAAAGTATTACTAAATAACTTTCAAAATCTTAACAGAGAGGCTATTTTTCGTCGTAATTGTAAGATATATATAAGTAAATAGCTCGAATATCCGTAGCCTCTTTTTCCCACTACGTATCAAAATCAGCGTAGCGTTACGCCTCTTTAGCTTCCTTGCGGACTTTTATATAAATTATTAGTATTATATTACTATAATTTTAAGACTTAATGAATAATTAGTTACTGGAGGTATAATAAAATATACGTTTAATAACTGCGGCTTATTAGGCGGTTTTGCGTTTGGCCTAGGGGTTAGTTTTTTACTTAGTGGGAAATATAACTGAAAAAGCAAAAGCTTCAATAAATTGGAAGGTAAAATTACTGATAATTAAAGCAATTTAAATAAATAAATGCTTTAAATTCTTATACCAATTTGAAAGAAATTTGTAATTGTCATGGAGCTGGCGCTCAGGGGTGTCTGCCTGGCTTGAATTCTATATAAGCCAGGCTTGCCCTTTGGTTGGGTGCACTCCTGGGGTGCGCCGCACAAACTACATTTCTGACCTTGGCGTTTCTGGCATCTTTGATATCCGCACCTGTGATGACAGCCTTGCAGTTGTGCCTCTTAACTACCATCATAACTATATAAGACCACTTAAGCGACCGAATTGCTAGCTTTGGTTACTTGTATTCTTTTGGAACATAGCTTAGTGATGTAATGGTCCGTTAGCATCGTGACAGCACCTCTCTTGTGTATTTAGCTATAAGCTCTATACCATACTGGCATAGACTTCTCTTTTCCTCTTTGTTGAATATTACCACTTCACTAAGGCTTACCCATATATAAATCTCGTAGAACCCTCACAGTAATTAACTACTATTATTAATAAGTTTATAACTAGTTTTTAACAAGTTCTAAACTACTTTCCAACCACTTTAATAAATCGCTAAAATAAAACGTTAATATACTATAAACAACCTTAACTTTAAAGTGGTTTAGTTGCTTACCATAGTCTTATATCATTATAATTTCTTTTTTTATATTTAATTAAATTTTATGATGCTTTTTATGGTAGTAATATGAATTATTGTAATTTTTTTACGCTTATTTTAAAATATTTACTACTAGTATTTCAGTAGCTATATAAACGCTCTATATAAAAGGTTTCCGCTGATTATATATATTTGCCGCTTTAAATAATACTAAAATAAGTATTTAGTATCTAGTTTTAAATGATTGATTATAAATAGACTTATATTTTTACTGGGTAGGTGGTTAGTATAAATAATAATTGATAGTATACGATCCAAGTAAGTAGGGAGAAACTTATATTTAAAGTTTAGCAACCATAAAACAAATATTAATTCGTATTTAGTGTCACAGCGGTGGCAAACCATTATACTAAGCAGGCTATGTTTCTACAAAAGAATATAAGTAATCGAAGTTGAAAGATTTGATACTCAAGTAGTCTTATATAGCTCTTTGACCCGCACGTAGTTCCGTATCACGTCGGCTGTTACATTTAGAATGATTTTAGAAAAATTTATAAAAGTTTTGCAATAGAAATTAAATAAAACAACGTTATAGAAACCTCACTCAAAGAAAGAGAGTTTGAAAACTATACGGAAACCTCGTAATATATTCTAAGGGCGGTAATATTAGCGTTTTTT